AAATTCGTCACCGGAAACAATCCTAGGATGGATAGTAACCTTTTACAAAAGTTCGAGGATTGTTTTAAAAAGATGGTTCCCAGCTGATTCTGTGTTTTGACTTTTGAGTAACAGCACAGGTACTACTGATGGTTTCAATTTCCCCACATTTAAATCCACGTACAAACACTAAATTGGTATGAGCTCATAGCACTATTTTTCCCGGTTACGAAGGCGAAATGTAAAATATCTGACGAAACACAACATTTGCTCTGTATTCATTATTTTAACGCGGGTGTGATGGACAAGTGCTGTGGTACTCAGACCCTCTGCGCACCTCGGTATCTTCAGCAACCAAAACCAGAACGTAACCACACACACCACACAATCGGAGCAGAGCGTCTGAATTCATTTCCTCCCCAGCCACCAATACTGGAACTTTACCTCTAACGCACGACCTTAAGGACACAAAAAGAGAACCCTTCGAGGGAAAACACCCCAGCGGTTGGAAAAAGACGTGCTTGCGAGTCAAACAAAAAAAAAAAATCCAAGAACGAAACAAGCAGGAAACCTTTCCCGTGCGCGCATGCAGAAGGCGAAAGAAAACGGAGGAGGAAACGCGAAAGCGTACGGATGGAGAGGCAGGGCAGATGAGGTGCAGCAGGTCCATTGAAGCGCCTAGAGGAGGAGGAAGAAGAGGGGACGGAGACGACGAAGACTTTGCAGAGGCAGAGAGAGAGAGAGAGAGAGAGAGAGAGAGACAGACAGACAGAGAGAGGCAGTTACATAAACACGAGCGTTGGTTGCCGAAGCAAGCTGAAGTCTCTGTCTCTCTGACTATCGGGCGTGCGCCATTTTCTTGCCACCGTGGACTCCTCCGGTGTTGCCACGTAATCACGTGGGCCCATATCCGGACAAGTTGATCGTTTGCACTCCCAGGTGTTACTCACGGAACTAATTATAAGGAATAATATCACAAAAAACTTCAAATTAATTTTTTGATAATAAAAAATCTGAAATTAATATTGCTATGACAAAATTACTCTCGATTAAATTTTACCGTTAAATTCTTAAGTTGAATGACACGTGACAGTTAACAAGTGTACAAGTTTAGGATTTTACATCTCTATTTGTCACATATTTACTAATTTATGATTTTTCGTGGTATTAATTCAATTTAACAAAGGATAAATTTATTACAAGTATATCAGTTTGGGATTTTTCGTGGTCAAAAAATTAGTTTTGGGTAAATTTATCACAAGTATACTAGTTTTGGATTTTTTGTAATAAAAAAATTAGTTTTTGGTAAATTTATCACAGATGTACCAGTTTGAAATTTTTCATGATATTAACCCTTAATTCTTTCACTCTGTTACAGTAAGATGAGGCAATAGGTGCTTGCATGTGCATAGAAAAAGGATGGATTTTGGAGAATTTAGAGAGCTTATTTATTTTCCATCACAAGATATACATAAGCATCCGGATGATTTCATATTTAATTGTTCACCATCTATATTTTTATACACATGCACGAAGTTTTCGTTCATAATAGGATTAGTTCACAATAGATACCAAGAATGAAACAAATCGCATACTTGGTACCATGATTTAATCGATATAACATATATCTGTGATAGAAGGGACAGAACATTTCAAACAGGTTCAGCTAGTCATATAAGGACGAGCCCCTGAATCTCCGAATTTTCATATGCACGGTCATTTTGCACACCAACCGGTTTGAGTCGAGTCTTGACCAAATCGAGCCGAAACTCAAAAGCCAATCTCAATGATGGTGCTCTCTAAATTCTTCAAGGGTAAACTAAGCTTGCTTGACAAATCCACAAAGAGCGGCAGATGCATAGTCCTATCAATCCCTTCTCCTAGATGGGTAAGCATCAGCTGACAGAAAGAAGACTGATCTTTTCGGGAATGGGACTCGATAATTTTCAGCAAAAGATCTGGTCACGGCTGAGTGGCTTTAGGCTTTGGCTTTGCTTTAGCACTGCAAGATTCTCGTTTGAAATAGTTATGCCCATAAAAGAGATGCGTTCCACATCACACATCCACTAACCATGCAGCGTCTTCTTACGTTGGAAAGCACGAAAGAGAAGTAAAGCAAAAAGCTGCAGCACAAAGTGATGGCTGAGCAAAGACACATCATGGTACTAAATGCCATATAATGACCAAATGTCAATTTGATGGTGTTCTTCATTTCTTGTTTTGTTCTTCTCAACACTTTACATGAATGGGGGATTCACGAGTGCTGTCAAAAGTGAACATGAATACATCGAAGTCTGTCTTGGGAATACTTTCGCAATGGTCCAGAGATTGCCTGAAGAAAGAGGAATCATTTAGTTGTCGTTCTGGATTTACCAATAAGGATGTTGCCTTAAATAACCAGGGAATTCATTCATCTCCTTGAGGTTTTGGGTTCACATTTTGTTGAAAAAAGTAAAATCTTGAATACATGAAGCCGATATAGGGGATTGGGAAAAATTATCCATAAAGTCCTAAATATATTACACTTTTGCCAATTTTGTCCTAAATCTTTTAATTGTTCCAAGTGAGTCCTAAATAAGTTTTGATTGCCGATACAATGAACGCCACATAACATAAGATATATCGATTGATTTCATCAAGAAAGTTGACTACCTACAAGCACTCTCTTGGCTTAATCTCAAAAGACACTCAAGTCAAGACATTGTAGACCAAATTGGTTTCGATCGCACTGAGGATCATGAGAGATTTTCAGGGGTGGGTTGGTAAACATAGAGTCGTCTTTAGATGGAATGAAGTGTAGCTCAAGATGAAATTTGACGAGGATAGCCAAGAAATCTGAAAGATGAAGACATAAATATGTGTATCAACGCTCAAGGACTTTTGAGCCACACTACAAGTTTGAAGAAACAAAGAGGTCTTGAGGAAAATTTCAATCGAAGACTCGTTGCATGACGACGTTTCAGAGAATCATAGCTAATATTAACTTGGCTCCTGTGCATTTGCAATACTGTGAGAGGTCTTACGAACACGACCGCGATGTACAGTATATGTAGTGTTCAAACGTACGTACCGTCGACCAAGTATTGATATCTAGTGGTTGAGGCTTTGGGAGATCTTGTTCAGGAAACGTTTAGGACAGGCTATGACTATTACAACCGGCGTCCGGACAGCGAGCAGACTGTCTATGGACACGAAGCCTGTTACTGGAAGTTCTCACAACCCGCCTGCGACGATTGCATGCACCATGCTCATCAAACGGTAGTTCATCGATGTCCAAATGTTGTCGGGGCTCAAGTCCGGCTTGAGGCCTGTAGGATTAGGTACGAGGGTTATGCGTTCGCTGAATGACCAATATAAGCTGTGGCCTTATAGGAGGACACACGGAAAATAATTGCCTTGGGAGTTTTAATCCCTTGGCTGTGTTTATGTTGTGCTCCAAATAATAGCAATGCATGCTAACTTATGATTAATGAAAAATCTCTTTGGATTGAGCGTCGAAAAAGTTGTTGGTAAAAAGGAATCGTCGGTCCCGTGATTCCCGGATAACTTGTTGATAAGTACTGACACTTTTATAACATTACCAACTTTTTTGATAGTTTGCAAGTTATCTACCGACACATTATTCGAGTGACTTATCAAATTTTTTGTGATTAAGTTGTCAAGTAGCTTTGATTATCATGTGGCTATGAAAACCGGCCTTGAGAAAGCTTATGATAGGCTTGACTGGGAGTTTATCGGAAATACGCTAATTCACTGTAAGTTCCCGGACATTTGGATAGAAACTTATCATGGAATGCATATCTAGTTCGAGCACTACCAGTCTTCTGAATGGAGGTAAACTTGATCATTTTGAGCCTTCGCGTGGTATCAAACTGTAAACGAAATCGGACGGGAATGGGGCCCCTGTTCAGAGTGATAAAGGGCCAACTCCAGAGGATGTGCTGAGCAAGAAAGTGAGTGATTATTTGTCACATCCTTAGCACCGTGTAGAGGGTGCCCTCATGGTATCATCCAGACGATACGGAGACAGACCGCTGGAACGAGTCTAGGACCGGGGACTTCTCGCTAAAGTCAGCTTATGAGATCGCAGATACTAGGCAAGAATCAGCAGGGGATGAGAAAGGTTGGAAACGGATTTGGAAATTGGAAGCTACACTAAGATATTAAGCACTTAGTTTGGAAATGTCTTCATAACGGGATTGCTGCAGAGTGCATTCTTGTTAGCAGAGGAATGGGGATGGACCGGACATGCGGTCTTAAGTCACCAGGCTCCAGAATCATGGAGCACATAGCACATATCGCAACAGTTGCCCCATAGCTTCTGAGGTTTGGCATAGGCTGTATGTTGCCAATTGGTCTGCAACAATCCTTTCGTAATTCACTATAATACTAGGTCCAAGGAGGTTTGTAAGTTGACCGAGACTCCGCGAAGTGTAATCTTCCTTGTGGCTTTATGGTATCTGCGAGTTAATCATGCCAATTGAGTTCTTAAACCCTTTGTAAAGCTGCAGAATTTGTTGCAGCAAAGGAGAGTGGTGGGTAAAGGGTTTGCTCATGATCTGGGCTATGCCTCCATTATAATGGCTGAAGTCGTGGCCCTCAAAAGAGGGGATCGAACCGGCCTTATCTTGCAATGTCTCAAAGCTTGAAACTGGAATCGGGTGCCATCGACATCGTCGGATCCTCCGGGAATCTGAACATCGCTGGCTCTTAAACCGATTAACATTCTCGTGAAACTGCAGGACATCGGTCGCGAATCTCGAAGGACGGAAAATCCGCCGCGTTCTACCGGGGAGTCTAACAAGCGTGCCGATGGCCGGGCCAACAGCAGGGCAAGCCTGCAAGGTGTGTCCGAGACTCCTTAGGATTTTGCATTTAGCTCTACTGTTGTAATCCTCTCTTCTACCTCAAAAGGAAAACAAAAAAGGGAAAGCATGGATTTGTTGCCATTCTATTTTGACGTGAAAATCGGTTAATTCGGTTAAAAAGACATTTCATGTTCGTTAATCCTTATCGTTGTCTTATAATCTAAGCCACACGGGGCCAACCACACACCGCCTTTGGCCATGGCGTCCTCTCTCGTTCACTCCGCGCACTGAGCTTCCTGGACTGTGTGGCCATGCCCTCCCTCCTCCTCATGGCCCTCTCGTCCCTCCCTCCCGCTCCCCCGTCTCTCCACCACCCACCACCGCCCCCCGCCCTCTATCCCCGCCGCCCCCCTCCTCCGCTCTCCCGTGCCTCCGCCCGCTCTCGCTTCTCTCCGAAGCGAGTCCGATGCGCCAACAGCAAAGAACGAGCTCCTCCTGCCGCCGCTGCGGCGCCGTCATCGCCGCCGCCGCCGCCGCCGCCGCCGCCTTCGAGCTCCGACCCCAAGAGGGGTGTCGCCCTCTACAAGCCCAAGTCGTACGAGGTTCTGGTCGCCGATGCGGCGGAGTCCCTCGCTTTCGCTCTCGAAGATGGCAAGACCCGATTGGAGATTGATTTCCCGTAAGTTTCTTTTTCCCCCTTTTTTTCTGTTGGTCTTATCGTTGATCGCGAATTGTGATTATGCCATTGATTTTGAAGCAATGGGGTTGATGCAAGTTTGCTGATTTAGGATAGGATTGAGTTGCTGGCCATGTTTACATGCTACTGTTGTGCTTCTCTCAGCGGTTTCAAGCCTGTCATACAGTGTTATTTCTTTTGGTTGATTTGGAAAGAAGTGCCACTTTTGGGTTGATTACAATTGTATTCATGAAGAACTACAGTATAGATTCATTCTAAAATGTGTTGGACTGAATCACTGACAGTACGATATTTGCGTCAAAACATGTCTTTTAAATTCTATACGTGATTGACTTGGTCTAGTAGAAAAAGTTCGAGTAATAATTTCTTGCTGCATGGGTATCTTTGTGCGAGTTAATCATGCCAGTGATTTCACCTCGTCATCCTCTTGAACCACACAAAAAGAAAGAAATGAAGTTGGAAGCATGAACTTCTTGTGAAATGGTTGAAGTTATGACCGACTATTTTAAGAACAAACAAGGGTGAGCATCTCTTAGCAAGCTGGCAAAAGCTCATCCTTCATGTGATTATTGTTCCTCGACTTCATAGCGCTCTTTGATATATGCTTGCCTTAGTAGTCTGTTGTACCGTGGTGTTATTTTGATATACTTGGTCCACCGTTGACACGGCTTTCATCAGATTTGGAGAATCCCAAGGGAAAAGATAATATGGTCTTATACCATTTCTGAAGTTTTTGCACATCATACTCTAGAAACAAAACAGGTTTCACATTGGCCTCTGACTTAGTTCTGCTTTTTCTGTCTCATCTGATGCTTATGCAGACCTTTGCCAAGCGATATGTCTTCTTTTAAGGTACCTCGTTGCCCCTCTATACTCAAGAAGGCTTTAAATATCACCTTGTGGGCGACATTTTACTCTATCAGTCATACTTGACATTTCTCTCTTAGCTTTATATGGATTATTGGATTCTAATTTTCTGAAAATTAAGTGAGATTATCTATGAACTGAAGCCACTAAACTAAATGATGACTAACCGAAAGTTATGTGAATATCGATATGCAATCAGCGATTCTACTCTTTTGTTTAATTAAGTCACTGCAGTTGATGAATCATAGACTACTCATTACTTTCTATACGTAATTGTTTCCAACTTCCTAAATATGTGAAGGGCTCTTCAGATGACTACATTGAAGCAAACATTCAATTTGCATTGACCATTGTAAGGAAACTTAAAGAGAAGAGGGAAACCAGAGCTTGCATTGTAAGTATGAGCTCTCTTATGCAGCAACATTGCCACTTTTGAGTGGTTACAAAATGAACCTTATAGAGTTCATGTGACTTCAGGTTTTCCCGGACAAGCCAGAGAAACGTAGAGCCACTCAGCTTTTTAAGACAGCTCTCGATATGGTAACATATAAATGAGTAAATTTTCTTCTTGTTGCATTGTCCTAGTTTGCAGCGAATCCTGTGCTTATTTTTATTGTGCCATTGTTTTCATCTTCTTGAGAAGTGAACATGCTCTCTTTTTGGCTGGTAGAGAGCATGGATGCTTGGTCAGTGGTGTAGGACATGGATTGGATGAAAAATGAACAACAATATGAAGAGTGGACTAAAAAGTAAATAGAAATTGCTAAATCTTGTAAGGTTTAGAGATTTCAATCATCTAATTTAATTATAACTGGTTGTATTTTGAATCTCTAAGAAGATTATAAAGTTTGAAGCACAAGTTGAGGATCATTGTCCAATCTAAAGGAAGAATTTTCAATTGTAAGAAAGTTAAGCTCCAAGTGGTCACATACTTGATCTTGTCAGGTTTAGAGCTTCCAAATCATCTTATACTTACAAGTGTGTGTTTTTTTGGTTGAAAATGAGCTCCACAAACTTTGGAGAACGAGTTGAGAGCTATAGTTGATTATAAAGGAAGAACTCTCACTTCTATGAAAGTTTAGCTTCAATTAGGTCAAATGTTTGATCTTGTTAGATTTAGAGCTTCCAAATCATCTAATTTGCTTTCTGCTGTGTACAGTTTGAATTTGATAAAACTTAACAAAGCTTAGGTCATAGTTCATTCTAAAAAAGAATTCCTACCTAAGAAAGTTTCAGCTCCAATTGGATCAAATGCTTGACTTTGTGAGGCTTTAGCTTTAAATCATTAAATTTACTTACATATGTGTGTATTTTGGTTCTAAAAAAACTTTACAAAGTTTGGAACATAACTTGAGGACCATAGTTCACTCTTAAAGAAGAACTTCTCAATTCTAAGAAAGTTTAGCTCCAGTTGGATCAAACGCTTGCTCTTTTGAGGTATTTTGGTTCCAAAACAATTTCAAAGAGTTTTGAGTATAAGTTAAGGGCCATCTTTCATTTTAAGAAAGGACTTCTCAATTCTAAAAAAATTAGCTCCAAGAATGAAAAGAAAATAGAAGAAGAAGCTTCATTTAATGATTAGTAACTGAAAATTGAATTAATTAACATGAAGAAGCTAAAAGTTGTTATCAAATAGCTGAATGGTGGATATATGAACATGAATTAGACAATTGTTTACCATGGTGATCAGATGGATTTTTGACCTAGCTATGGTTGGTGGATACTTCTCGAGCCAGGAGCATTTGATGTTCAATTCAGCAAACTATTCTGCACACTCAGTTTAATCTACTCTGTCAGATTGATGGCATAACAGTTGCTTCCTTGGATGATGTACCTAGCGGCCCTGTCACTACATTCTTTAAGTCCGTGAGGAACACTCTGGATTTCGACTATGAGGATGAAAATGAAGGTAGAACTTACGGCATGTTATGATCGTTTGCTAGCAAAGGACAAACACTAACCCCTGATAATTCATTTCTGTCCTAGCAAAAATGCTCAGAGTCCTGTGTTCCCTTACTTTTTCTGTGTCCACTACGTATAAGGGGTAAATATTTGTTTAAGACGCTTCAAAAGATTTTCTTTCTCTTGTTTGACCTGGATTTTGACCTCAATGATGCTTTCCAAGAGTTTCGACAGTTTCTGAATCAATTATTGCAGCTAAAAATCTCCTCATGCCTTCAAATGCAGGTCGCTGGAAGTCAGATGCACCCCCAACACTATATATATTCCTGAACTGCAGCACTCGTGAACTTTCAGTTATAGAAAAATATGTGGTATGAGATCCTATTGAAGTTATATCATTCGTTGTACTGGCTAGCTTGGGCCAATATATTCCATGCTTTGATGCATTAATTACCTGTATTTATTATAATCAGAGGAATCTTTTTGTCTATTTGTCCTATTTGAAAATAATCTTGTTAAATTTCCTAAGAACCATAATTGGAGCCTTAACTGGAGTGTTTAGTATATTTTACTAGGAATCTCTATTGCTTGAATGTGTAGCATTACAGCGAAGATATTCATAGTCGGTATCATCTTTCCTGAGTAGTGTTTCGATGAAAGAGTTACTTCTGTATCATTCTGAGTTGCAACTCTTGATTTGATATTGCAGGGCCAATTTGCCAAGTCAACTCCATCACTCTTATTCAATTTGGAACTTGAAACCCTGCGGTAAATCGTACTTTTTAAGGTCTACCTGATTCGACCAAAAAAAAAAAAAACACAGGTCAACCTGATTGCACTTTGGTACTGGAAATGCCAAACATTCTCTAAGTATGGAAATATATACTTTTGCAGAGCTGACTTAGGCCTTCTGGGATTTCCAAGCAAAGATTTGCATTACCGATTTCTTTCTCAGTTCACCCCTGTGTTCTTTATTAGAACTAGAGACTACTCGAAGGTACTCCTTTTATGCTGGTGCATCATATTCTTTTTTAGTTGTTTTCTAATATTTGACTGAATATAAATTTTTGTTTATAACTCAAGACAGTTGCGGTAGCACCTTACATTATCAATTTCAGCGGAGCGCTCTTTCGCCAATATCCTGGTATGCAATAAGTAGGCTTTCTTTTGCATGGTTTATAGCAATCTTTTGAAGGATTTATGGGAAGCCAAAAAATTCTTCAGATTTAGGTTTGAACCATGAAGGAAGATTATGATGACTTTTAATGAGAATGTGGTTGGATCAAATGAAGGCTATGGTACTAATTTATCTTCCCTAAACTCTGGAAAAAACGATTTTTCTAATGTCAAAGAAGTCAAAGGGCTACCGCTTGGAACTAAACAGGAGGTTCTTGGAAGAAGTTTACCATCAATTTCTTTCGTCTTAGACACTCTTGAGTGTGCTGTGAACCAAAAGAACTCTATACCCTTGCTGGCTCTTGCATGTTTTCCCTAATTTTAGATGGAAAGATAAATGTCAATCAGGATGTACGAATTTTAGTAGCTGTTTCAGCCACTGCATTGGTGCATACATCTTACTTAGGTTCAAACTTTTCCAGGGCCATGGCAGGTGATGCTTAAGCAAGCAGATGGTTCATATGCGTGTGTGGCAGAGAGTGCCACACGCTTTACACTAGGCGAAGTATATGCTCTTCTCATGCAGCCTGAGTTTTATGGTGGTTGATGCATATTCTTTGCTTTTAGACTGATAACTTCGTTGTGCTTTAGACCAAGGAAGAACTACTGAGGGTCTTGGGACTGCAAGAAGAGCAAGGAAGCTCACTAGAATTTCTTCGTAGAGGCTACAAGGTTTTTATGAACTTTCCAAGCTTTGCTTGATTGATACAATATCAGTTTACCCTGCTCACTGAAAGGAGGCAAAGCACATCTTCGGTCCATGGAAAAGTGCATTTTATGTGCTTTAGATAAAGTTGGCAGGAACTGTTCATTTAATGTTTTATTTATGCAATTATCTCTTAGATTTGGGTTTCATTTCAATATGCTCATTTGGGTACCTACTTCTCCTATAGACCATGTCGTATTGCATGCCCTCTTTTCATGCATTGACATGTTTCAGCACGTCTTATTTCTGAAATGAATCTTGCTGTAATTGGACTAAAGTGATAGATCTAATATTTAAGTTTCCACCTTAGCCTTTTCTCCTCCATATGTTAGATACTGCATCTTTTAAATCAAACCATCAGTCAGGGAGTATGTCCATAGAATTAGCATTGCAGATTAATATGTGAACTGTTGGATGACAATTGAAAATTTTATTTAAAGTTCACCACAGCTTTGTCATCTGGCATTGCAGAATACTACTTGGTGGGAAGAAGACGTTGAGTTGGAAGTTTCGTCGGCATGGCGTAGTTGAGCTCCAGGAACAGAAAGTTTGACTAGTATTATAATGATGAAGGTAAATGGTAAATAGACTCGAACTGGATTGGGCATTGCATGTCATATGATCCTACTTTTTGCAACTCTTCAATTTTTTTTGGGGTATTTCCTAGCTTATTTTCTTTGATTCTTTTGACCCGTCAGTGCCCAATCGTTTTTTTATGGCTGAACAACTTTTGGATGACGGGTCCTTTCAAGTCGTTCTGAAACAAAAAGTTGTATGTACTGAAACACAAAATGCAAATTTAAATGTCTGATTACCATTTCAGATGAATGAGCCGAAAGGCCACCCTTTACTAGTCATTTGATGCAAGTGTTGGACTCACGAGAAATCAACAACTGAAGTGAAACCTAATTTTAATCTTTATCAGGAGATAGCCTGACATATTATTTCTGTTGTGTTGATACAATGATCAAATACTCCCCCAGGAATCATTTTCACACCCCATCTTGAGCTGCATCTCTATGTGAACATATATGCAGTAAGGTGTTTCACTATCGGACTCTTGCCCTAGCTCCAAATTTTACACTTGGATGTAGCGATCAATTTACATGGTTAAGCCACCCCTAATGAGCGAATTGACTTTGCTATTTCCATCTTCTAGGATACTCACAACATTACTCCGCATCAGAAACCGTAAAATCAGGTTCTGGAGGCTTCTGTAATTTCGCTACCCCCTTGGAACTTGACACACTTCTCAGTCTGTGGCCCCGAAGAGCATTAGCTGCAAAGCGAGATGCGAGTATTGTTGCAGCAAAAGTCGATGAATTACCTCCAAACAAACTCTGACCAACTAAAGCCCTCTCATCGTCGTTGTCATCTTCACTGTAGTCTTCCTCCTCCTCTTCCTCTTCGAGACGCCGAAGCTCAGCATTTTTCCTTCTCATATAACGCCGCCATGCAGATTGTATAAAGCAGGCAGCCCAAGTCCTCCATTGCTGTGAATAGAAGCGGAATGTGTGTTGAACCTGTCTACTGTGGAGTCTCCTAAACTGACTCGCAACAAACTTCAACTCTTCTGCTTCCAACGCAAATGCCTCCACCTCTGTCAAAGCCCTCACAGTCCGAGTCGAGGAAGGCAAATTGGAACCTGCTTTAGGGTCCAATGCCCAGGTCAGAAGTTCCTCTCCACAAAAGTCACCTTCTTTCAGTAATCCTCTGTTATAAAATCCACTCCTCCCACCATCGGTGGTTACGCTTTCCAGTCGTCCACGTATAATGAACATCATCTCATTGACCGGGTCCTCCTCCCTCACTATGTATGTACTTTCGGTGTACAAACTCGGCTTTAGCCGTTCGCAGATCGCATCAAGTAAGCGCTCATCCATATTGGCAAATAGAGGAACCTACATTCACCCCGTGTTTAGCAATTGCTCAAAAATATTTCTCTTAAAAAAAATGAGGAAGACGGATCATGAAGGGTTTGCTTACCCTTCTAACCAAATTCAGACAAAGATGCCTCTTGATGTCCCTCCTCAGGTCCTTTGGTAGACTCTGGACCAAGCTCTCTTCATCTACTCCACGTGTTTCTAACCACTTGTATTGATCGTAACGCCTAACTCGTTCTCGGAGCTCCTGTGGAAGCAACCGATGATGCATCCATTGCTCAGAGTCCCGCCTCTTTATCCTCATTTCCTCCAGACGGACAGTCAGAGACTGAAGGTAGGTCTGTTGTAATAATAGAAACTCCAACATCAGAACTACAGTGTATCACCGTCTACTCATTACCCTTAATTACCAGCACAAGAAGCTATTCTTCTCCCTTCTACAGATGGTAGAGCTAATGCTTCTGCTTTCTTACAATCATCACGTAGTGTTTAACCTTAGTTGTAGCTTCACTAACAGTGTTGTACAAGGCAGTAACAGTAGGTGCCAGATATAAAAAATAATTACAAGTCAATCAAAGTTCAAACAACCATGGTTGTTCATGCAATGCATTTGCAAATACTGACTGTAACGACTCATCATATAAAATCCTATATACCTGCATATTTCCAATCAGAAGTGCAAAGAGGATGAGGCCAGAAATTGCCAGCGCAATGGAGAAGAGGACTTCGCCGGTGTATGTGCTTGTTTTGAGCCCCTGCCCGAGTGTACTGTAAAGATAAGATCAGGATGTCAAATTCTAATCTGCAGCTTTAGTGCTTCAAAAGTGAAAACTCTTGCTTTGGTGAAGATATGCTGCAGAAAAATAAGTATGATGCAGTAAGGCAACAGTTGAGTGTATAAAATGGTTGTCTCCGTCCTGATCACAGACCAAACTGTAATTTGAAGGTGTCACGTCACAGTCTCACTGTTCATATCCTGAATAAAGCTGTAACTGTGCAGAAGCATCCTAAAACTATAGTGGAAAATTTTATCAACTGCAAAAGGCGAACTAGAAGATCATATCTAACATTTAACAGAAAGCAAACCTCAAGTTCTGCAGGCCCCACCATAGACAATAAAAGAATTTCGAGAAGAAGTTCCTCGATGCGACTATGTCAGAAGACATAGCTTGAGTGTAAATTCCAAAATTGAATGGCAAATTCTCATCCGCAACGTTGCATTTTCTTCCGAGAACATCTCCCATGATTGCTCTCCACTCTTCGTATCCTGGCAGATGCTTATTGCCACAGTACAAAAATTCTTTCATGCATTTGGGTCTTGTTTCAGCACAGGCTTTCTGCCAGCATGTGTCCTTACGTTCCACAGCAAGCAAGTACCATAAAGCCCCAAATATCTGCAAAAGTCCATCACAAATGTATGAGAACGCAGCATAGATTGGTTAAATTGCCTATGCTGTTTTCCAGTAAACAGACAAACTTTAAGAGATAAAATCATCAAGTCATTAGAAATAGATCTTTAATAGATGAAATTGTCATTTTTTTTTCTTTGATTTTGACAACTTTTTGCAGAAGTTTACTGCAAATCTATAAGTATGATATAGGAATGCATTAGAATTATTTTGAATGCAAGTTGATCATCTGCATCAGATTTGATGTGGAGGGTAAAAATTTCGCAGCAGGAAATCCATCTTACATGACTAGCTAGCAGGTACCAAAGTAGATAATATGCTGCACCAGCCCAAGCACTTTCAGCGAAAACACCTGCTGTCTTCTTGACTTCCGATGTGAGAGGTATAAAGCGGACGAACCTTGGAATATATTGAACGAAGACTAGATTTAACAGTGCATGCTTTGTATTCAGCACTTCTGAACCTTTTGCTCTCTGAAGAAATTTCCACACCACAATCTGAACAGATTGGAAGTGCTATTTTAGGAAAGGAAAGACTGCCTTCTAGTGAATCATAATAAACTTTTAGAAGCAAAGATATCAACATGGGCAGTGAAAGATATGGATTAACTCATATCTTCGCTGTACTGCAATATAAAGACATCATGAATGAAGTGGAAGCAAGAACAGAAGTTAAAAGAGGGAGACAAATGGTTAATTTTTTACATGCCCTTTTCCAACTTATGAATTTCAGCTGCAAAATCTTTCAGACGGAAGACACCAATTTTTTTTTTTTTGTTCGCAAAGCTTATCATGTCCATGCATTTTAACTAATAAGACAAACCAAGTAGGGAGATACAAAAATCATGAAAGAACACCAGCAAATTTAGGAAGAAAATTCTACCAAAAATACAAAAGAGATGTGAAGATTGAATGAAAATACAAAGGGAAACTAAAGGTGAGAGAAGTTAGTAACTTATGACAAAAGAAATCAGATAAAGTACAAAAACTAGTAACTGAGAATTCGAAGTTTCTCAAACCTGTGGTGCTGGTATAACAGATAGCAGATCCACAATGAAATAGCGCTTTAAATAGCGCATAGCTATCTGTGCAGGATCAATCACAAGTTCACCTCGTCCAAAAACTCGCGACGATGGTGCAATGTACGCGGTACGGAACTGGAAACCCATTCGGAAAAGGTAAAAGACATCAAGAACTGTCCTGACCGTCGTAATTAGGGCTGCTAAACCTTTATCTATGCCGAGGCAATTCGATGTATTGAACACAGGAAGATAGAAAAACAAGGGATCAACGGACACCGCAAGAATACATGATATGACAAAGAGTTTGTTCCAGAACTGAAGGGACTTGTCTTGGGGATCAAATATATTCTTCTCGGATACTTTGAGATCTTCCGGGAACACTGCGCGGCTGACCCCAAATCTAATTGATTTACCGAACGCCCTAAGTCCTTCCGAGCCCTTTTTCACTCCTACTCTGAATGATTTCGACGCATTGTTTCTCGCACGACCAGTACGGAGCAGTCCAGCAAAATTGAAGCCATATCCTTTCATCCCACCGGCATGAGATGGCATTGATACTGTAGAATCCAAGTCATCCAACCTACAGGAACCATATTGCTCTGAATCAAATGGTAACATGATAAAAATCAAAAAACATTACCCCAGTTCTCACTTCAATGCCTGAGATATAGCCAAAGCGAGTTTATCACTCTATCAAATGATATATAGCCCCATTTTTACGATAATTTGGGCTTGGATCTTGCTCAATGGAAATGCAAACTCGAGTACAAAAACAATTGAGCAAACTCAAAAAGTTCTCAAATTTCATACCTTACAAACTTCTCTCTTTGGCCTCCGATATACTGCGACTTGTAACCACAATCAAACATCGTATTGAGATTGTTCACATAATAGTAAATCTTAATTACAAACTCAGAGAGAAGCCGAGATCCAACTTCCACCTGAGGAAGAAAAGTGAAAAATGCTAAATACACTTGTAAAGGTGTAGAACCATTTGTAGATTCCACCTAATAACAAACATTATCAAATGTTCAAGACACTATTATGTCTGACCTTGTATGTCGAGGATTCGAATCAAAATGAGCGCCGTGTGTCTACGTTATTCACTGCTAACAAATGTGCCCTTCCGTTGGTTAATTTCCTTCCAAATGTATACGAGGAATATCAGATTGAATCCCCCAAGAGACACCTCAACCAAAATTTTTAACAGGTCTTTCGAAATCTCGGAACAAATTCTCGTATTTGCTCGATCCATTCTACATCCCCGGATCACCAGGCCTAGCAACAATTTTCAAGGAACAAGAACTCGATGCACTTCTCTCATCGCGACTCATCCCAACAGGCAGAACAATTTTAAATTTCACGTTTCTTCCAAACGGGCGAACGCACGTAAACAGCGAATCACGCGCGACACAGGCAAAAAATAAATAAATGCTGCGATCAATCCGACACATCCTTGCGAAATGCCGATCAAAACCCAGAAACGAGATTCGTATTGCGCGAAGTTCTCCGTATCCCATCAAATTGAACCTTTTCCCTGGAGCTTGAACAGACATGCAGGATTTTGTAACAGAGAAGGAAACAACCACGACAGGGATTGTTCAATGACAGATGATCGGTGAATTCCTAATGAAATAAAGAGAGCTTTAGGGGAAGATTAGAACACCGACCTTTGATTAGTATCCATATGTCGATGATCAAACACGAGGTAATCTAATCTAATCTGCATTGCTTGGACATCAAGACGTGTTCTTTTGTTCAACTCTGGTTCGACAGAGAGAGAGAGAATTTGGAAATGGAGGGAGTTTGCAGTTATGGCAGTTATGGGGACGCGGGAGGATCCTCTGAATCGAGCTCCCGTTCCATCACATGCAACTCGATTCTCTTGCTGCCACGTGGCAACTCCAAGTGGCATCTCTTTCTTTCTATTTTTTGTTTACTTGAACAGAAAATGGGTCTAATCTCAATTTACCTTAATCATTTCCACAGTTCTTGAAGCTTAAAATGTGTACCTCAACTTCCTAAGTTTTGGAGAGAAAGTTTGAAAGTACCTTTTGATACATACTCTCTTTCCAGAGCATAAATAAATGGACCGAAAAGAATCCGTTTGATATTTGTTTTTTGTCAACGGGGTGAAATTTCATTCGATGACAGAAAGAAAAGAGATTTGCTAAGTAAATAAAAGAGAGAAGTAATTTAAATATATACAAAAGTAGGAAAGTTTCTCGTGAGATTTCTCAATCTGGGTCTTTTTATCCATACTCTTTACATTACATGGGTCACTCACACGATTCGCAGAATATATTCGGATTCAATTTAGTAAACCAAGATCAACGAACAACCTCTGCATCCTTCGAGTATCAAATGTTACCAAGTGAAGATCACAAAGGAACACCATATGTATTAAAATGGGAAAAGTATCAAAAAACTCCTAAACCTGTTGCACTGATGTCAATTTAGTTCTAAACCATATTATAATGCCAATTTAATGATAAACCTTTTGATCTAAAGCCAATTAAGTGCTTCCGGCTCATTTTGATCGGATTCTGCTGACGTGGATGTCAATCGGCCTACGTGGTATGGCCAGTGCTAACGTAGATGACTTTTAATAAAAATTAAATATTTTTCAAATTTATTTATTTTTCTTTTCTTTTCTTTTTCCTTTTTTCCTTTTCTTTCTTTTTTTTTTCCATTCCCTTCCTCCTTCCTCTAGCCAGTCACCGGACCTCTGGCGACAGACCAAAGGCCAAGGCCAGGGAGGTAGACCTCGCCATGGCTAGGCGAGGCTCGAGCCCTCGCCATGGCCGCAGGTCGTAGCTATTGATGGCGAGGCTCGCGAGGCTGCCGTTTTGGCCATCCAGCGAGGGCAAGGCTCGCTAGCCCAATGCGAGGCGCCCTCTCGACCATCTAGCAAGGTCAACACCTCGCCAGCTCTAGCCCTTGGCCGATCACCCCAGTTGCCAAGGTCTAGCAACTAGCTAGAGGAAGGGAATGAAAATAAAAAGAAAAATAAATAATAAAAAAATTCGAACAAAATATTAAAATATCATTAAAAGTTATCCATGTCAGTGCCAGCCATGCCATGTAGGCCAATCAGGGTCCACGTCAGCAATATCCAACCAAAATTAACCGAAAAGACTGAATCGGCACCATGTTAAAATGTTTATGATTAAATTGGCACCGTTAAAAAGTTTATTAGTAAATTAGCACTGATACAATAGGTTTAAAACTTTTCTTACACTTTTCCTGTACTAAAACAGTGCACTAAATTTTGATGAGAGTGACCTAAATGACATGAATACACTAAATAATTTATATTGGAATTGGAAGTGAGTTTTGTCAATACAAACTCTTTAAAGAAGTTGTTCACAGCTCATCCCAAGAAGCTCACCACCAAACATCAAATAGAGATTTTCACATTGTTAATTGATCTTATCTCTTAGTCAAACCTTTTTGGGGACAGCTTTCTTTCAAGGGCTTGGGACTTCCCCACTCAGTAAATACAACTACGCAGTTCCCAAATCATCTATTTTTTTTTTTTAAATTCTCTTTTTGTAGCATAATTATAGCAATTTCGAAAGCATGATTACTAATTTGCTCTTATTTTCTTATTGGAAATGTTTCTCTCTCTTCTCTCTCTTTTGGACATCACATTCTCGGTCAAAAGATATGGCACGCCCATAAATTATTCCACATTTTAAGGCATACTGCGACTATGGTAAATTATTTAAATGCAGAAATGTCATGCTCTACTAGGGTTTCCATTAAAAATAACTTATCAAGACTCAGCCCCCTCCCTCGTTTCAATTAACATATTTTTCTTTCAATACGATTTTCGAGAATAATATTGACCTAATGGGAAGAGAATACTATTCCCAATATTCCGTTCCTCTCTCTTTGACAAACTTCGTTTCCCTTGAATTATTTTTTTTCTAATTGTAGTTTGCATTGACATTTTCAATTATCAAATTCCCATTTGTCCGGCCTTTAGAATCTCGACAGGACACAACCCACCAGACTTTGAAAAGAACTGGAGTGATTAATGTGATGATCAATTGATTTGGACCACTTGGGATATAATATATCCTTTGGCATGCTTTAATGCTTCCTTCTCAAAGTAGAAGTTTCCACCCGCATTAATTATAACAAAATTATTTATTATATATTATTGACACGGGTCAAGTTCCTTTACATATGGCTACGAGTGATAAATAGGTTAATAACTTACTTAGATTCAATTAAGATTAATGACTCTCTTTTTCTCTTCTTCACTCCATTTTGCGCTCGTTCACTTCGTGCTTTTACCTCAATTTGAGTATAATCTTTCCTAGATTTAGTTAAATATGAAAGAATTTTAACGATATAAGTCGGGTATGAGTCAATATAATTTTATTACATGAAAATTGATCAAAACGAGTTAAATGAATTAATTTAGATTTGACTATTTTCAATCTGATTCACCCGTTTTATGAGTTTTACACGGGGAAAAATGCATCAATATTCATTGGATAGATAGACATTGCACCGTGCTTCCATTGGCAAGTCAGTTAATGTTCTGAATGTGAATAGGGTTTGCGCATACGATTTGAAACTGCGAGAGTCGATAATGATTGCAATCGAAGTGAAAGTGAAAGTGAATGTAAACAACCCAGAAAGGTCAAAAAGGCTACTTCCTTTCATTAAGATTGTCGTCCAGTAGCTCAGCTTTTTTCTCTCTGCTTTTGTTCGTTTGTTAGGTGAGCAAGCATATCATGCTGCTCCAGCTGAAGCATTGTCTGAAGAAAAGTGGGGAGAAGAATGTCACAGTAAAAAGGGCAAAAAAAATGTTAAAAACAACAGTTCAGTAATATATACATGAAAGAACAAAATGTACATTCTGAAAATATAAGACCAAACAGGTGTTTGTCTTCAAGGAAACATGTATCATGCTAGTGAAAATCACAAAGAAGAGGACAATTCCATGTAAGCCCTTGACACAACACTGAAAAGGGCACGTAGGGTTGCAGAAATGATATGAGTAAAGCCTTGAAGATAATAACAAAACCAATTTGCAGAAAAGCGTACGTTGGGTTGCAAGAAATGCTCAGACATCCAACACACCATACAACAATGAAGACAAAATACTTAAAGAGAGAGAGAGAGAGAGAGAGAGAGAGAGAGAGAGGACAAATTTGACCATCTTGGTGGACGGGTTCCCACCTCTCCTCTCCCCACCACCCATGTTCATCCCTTCTGCTCACTACTTGAATCTTGATTTTTTTTTTCTCAAATCTGTCTAGATTTTATTCACTATAACGATAGTAATGGTGGTGATGATAAAAGAGAGAAAAAAGCAGGGCGTGTGCACCAGAGACGCTATTATCATAACAGCAACATTGCCCCATAAAGGCAATGACTTTGTCCTTGGTGGTATCTTCTTTTTATGAAATGAAATGAAATGGAAACAGCCTCATGCTTGAGAAAAGGAAAGAAGAAAACACCGAGCAAAGAACAATAATGGCAAAAAGGGTTTTCTAGTTTGACAGGTCATCTTTCCTAGGACATAATATTCCCCCACAGTAAAAACAGGCAACATTGGATTTGGCACTCAAGTCCAACATTCTTCTGTTAAACATCACATGACATTATCCATAAAGTGATAACTAAACAAAGAGAAAGATGCCTTATTCGTAGCTTGTGATTTAGCGGGCAAAAACAGGAGAGAGTACTGCAGCCGGAGATTAAACAAACTGGACCAAATTAGAGATTTGCAGATCCAGATAAAGAACAAACAACGACCAAACGAAGAAAGGGACAGAAAAGTGACTGAATGGGATTCTCCCTTGCATGCAGTAATTCTGACGGGCGTAAATTCCACCGTGTATGTATGAACTGTAACATCTGTTCACGTTGGAAACTTTTCTGTCGGAACTTGATTAACAGAATCAATTACTACACATAATAATATGAAATTCGTACACTTTTTGTGAGGTTCAATATATTAGGCAAAGATCTCAATCAAGTTCACATTCCAAATAACGTCCACATGGCATGTGACATATGTACTAATAGTGAGCATTTCCTGTACATAGAAAGGGAAAATGCGACACCCTTCATCGTATTCCATCTTCACTCCATTTCCTCTGCCTTCCATGGACATTTTTCTGCAAAAAACTCTCTTTAGTCAAAAGCACCTAGGGACCCTCCATTCCACCTTTTTTTTTTGGTTTCTTTCTCTAACCTTCACTTCCCAATCACTAATCCCATTATCAAAATACATGAAAAATCCCAAATACAACATAGTGGATCATCTCTCATATGATTATCCAACTGTAAAGCAACCTCCCTTGGATACTCCACAGAGGGCACAAATGTAAGGATGGAATCCTAAAATCTTCTTCCACTACCACCACCACCCTCAATCTTTTCCTTCACCACTTATTTGCAAGAACAGAAACATCATAAACCCTGAAAAACCCAAGTACCAGAAGAATCAAACTCATCATGCCTTCAAGATCCTTCCCTCCAAGCCTAGGCCTTACCAGACCCAGTTCCTTCGCTACAACCAAAGTCCTGTTCTTAGTCCTCACAATATCAGCCTCTGTTGTCATCATCTTGACCATCCTCTACTTGCTCTACCATTTTTATCACTCCATTGTGAACAGGCCAAGAACAATCCCATTTGACTCCAGTGCTCCTCTCAAGATTGAGAGGTTCTCTTACAAGGAGCTGAAATCGGCCACCTTGGACTTTGATGAGGCCAACATGATTGGGAAAGGCGGGTCTGGAACTGTTTTCAAGGGGGTATTGAAGGATGGTAAGTTAGTTGCTGTGAAGAGACTTGATGCCATGTCACTAGAGACAGAGAGAGAGTTCCAGAATGAGTTGCAGATTCTCGGTGGGCTTAGATCCCCATTCCTGATCACTCTGTTGGGGTACTGTGTCGAGAAAAATAAGAGGATACTTGTGTACGAGTATATGCCAAACCGGAGCCTGCAGGAGCTGCTTTTTGGAGAAGGTGACTCGAGTTCAAGCTTGAGTTGGGAGAGGAGGTTTTCCATTATACTGGATATTGCAAGAGCCCTGGAATTCTTGCATCTTGGTTGTGATCCACCAGTGATTCATGGAGATGTTAAGCCGAGTAATGTCCTGCTTGACTCGGAACTGCGGGCCAAGGTTTCAGATTTCGGCTTGTCGAGAATGAAAATCGAGGGCGAGTATGGGGTGGATTTGTTCAGCCAGGACTTGGGCAAGAGTCCGGATTTATGGAAGAGCCAAGAGCTGTCAGGAACTCTGACTGCAGAGACTCCGGCTATTGCTACTCCAGTCGAACAAGCGGACTGCGTGCCTGAGGTAGACTTTGCTCTTGCTTTGCAAGCTTCTTCTTCGTCAAAGAATAGTAGGACATGTTATACTGTGAAAGCTCTGAACTTGAACTCTGTTAGTTATAATGCTAGCATTGGGACTGAGAGTGATCTTAAAGGAGGAAATGGAAAGGGCAAGGAAGTCTCAGTTGTCGATGTTGCTTCTGATGAGTGGAACAAGAAGTTTGTTCCTTATGATGATGAGTTCAACAGCTTTCATCATCCTGGTAATGATGTGAATTTGATTGCTTCTGCGGTTGCTGGTGATCTGCCGGGTTCAAAACAGTGGGGTAAGGATTGGTGGTGGAGACAGGACGGAAGTGGTGAATTATGCAGTAAAGACTACGTCATGGAATGGATTGGCAGCCAAATTTGCCCGACTGATCCAGATTGGTATGATGACAGAAAGAGCATTCCCGAAAAGACTGACCTAAATAATTCATCGTTGCCATTAAATAAATTAGAGGATGCGAATGAAATATGTGCTCGTGAAGTTGGGAATCAACAACTTCCTGATAAGGAACCTGAGAAGAAAGATGCAAATGGAAAGCATCACTGTCAAAAGAGGCACAGAAAGATGCAAGACTGGTGGAAAGAGGAGCACACAGCTGATATTAGGAGGAAGCATAGTAAATTGAAATATCTCAAAATGAAGTGGAAGCAAGGCTTTAAATTGCCGCATTTCGGTCTCGGTAGGCGTTTTTACTTCTGTCGACGGAAAAAGTTTGGAGGGCAACAAAACCAGCTCGAAGCTGACACAAATGGGGAGTTTAGTTTTAGAAGGGGCCTGAGGAAGAACAATGCTCATTGTAATGGCAGCGATATTTGGAGCGGAGATCTTTTCAGCCGCGAGCTAAGCAGCACAACAAGCATGAGAGGAACTTTATGTTATATTGCCCCAGAGTATGGAGGATGTGGATACTTGATTGAGAAGGCTGACATATACAGCCTTGGGGTGTTGATCCTAGTCATCGTGTCTGGTAGAAGACCGTTGCATGTTCTTGCCTCGCCCATGAAGTTGGAGAAAGCGAATTTGGTAAGCTGGTGTCGACACTTAGCTCAGACCGGAGAAATTTTAGAGCTTGTGGATGAGAGGTTAAAAGGCGAGCACAACAAGGACCAAGCTAGCTTGTGCATTAACTTGGCATTAATTTGCTTACAGAAAATCCCCGAGTTGCGGCCGGACATAGGAGAAATAGTTAAGATATTGAAAGGGGAGATGGATCTTCCACCGCTGCCATTTGAGTTCTCTCCATCACCACCGGCAAAATTGATTGGCAGATCAAGGAGGAAACCAAAAACTAATGCAGAGTAAAGGTTTGACCCTGAAGTTAGATATTGTGAGTTAATCAAAACACTTCCAATGTACATAAGCATTGAGTTGAAACATGTATCGTGGACACATCAATAGGATTCTAGTTTCTTTTTCTATTTCAGTGGCTGCAAAGTGTGTGGCCTTTGGTATTGCCACCATCGTTCTCGATCTGCATTGTATGCTGGACGCACATAATTATAGTCTCAATCTCAAATTCTGGATAGCAAGATTGTTAAGAACTTCAATTGAACATGATGGTCGAAAGATGCAGTTAGTTCGGTTGAATATATTTCCAGTACAAAAGTTTCCATTTGTTGCTCTTGAAATGTTAAAGATGCTGTCCTTTTTTGGACCATACTTAAAGGCAGTGGTAACTGGTAAGAAGCCCTTCTAGGAGTAGAATCAATCTCTAGATCATCCGTCCTTTTTATAGATCTTCTCTTTAGTATGGTTAGGAAACGGAAGATCTCAGTTCTCTCTTTGTCAATGGAAATGGTGTAAGCTGGTTAACAGTTGAGCATGCACTCGGACACCATAGGAATGACAGACATGTAGCAGATGGAGGGTGCTTCCACTAAGTCCATACACTTACCAGTCATAAATTTTAATGTTGCTCAAAAGAGACTCTTAAAAGTACAATTAAGTTGTCTCTGGGACGGGCATCCTGGCACACGAGACTTCCAGCTAGGTGAGGATCGAGGAGGGTCCTCTATCATGCATAAACTTCTCATTTTTTTTGTTTTCCAAAGAAGATACAATGTCGGCTACTAACATTGAACATATGGACTTGTTAAGAATCACATGAACGGTAATCATGTGTGAAAGCTATCAATATTAAATATGTTATTAGGGCACACAGGAGCTGAACCCAATCATCCTCCAATCCTCATGACTTTGGATTACAGAGTATGAAGTTGTTGGTACCCAAACGAAAATAAAAGAACTCACCAAAATTTTCTACCCAAGTTCTTTTTTCCTGAAGGAAGAAAGGAATCAATCTTTGGGCTCAGAATGCAGGTAATACTCCACATGCAGGATGAATGGCAGAGACACGAGTGTCTAATCTAACTTGCGGGTGTCATATTTTGCGAGTGAGGCCTCTCAGCACTTAGCAGAGCTCTTAGGAACGGTAAGTTTTGCTTAAAACTGGAAAACAGTTGATAATTGTCCGTATGCTTGCCTTTAAGGATTGGCAATTTTGTCACCGCAACTTGAAACATGCTCATGTTTTCGAGAATAGCATGCTATTCTGAAGAGCATTTCTTTCTCCAGGGGTTAAATAATAGGAGAACAAACGCATCTCCTGCTCACTCTCTCTTTTCACTCTTGCAAACATGAACTTAGTACGTGGTTCACTGCTGCAATGCACTACCTATTTCAGTTCACTTAGTTTAAATTTGCTAGAACTTTTTCCTTGGAGGTTCTTTTCGAGAACAAAAAGAAACTCATTCATATCAAAGAATCTGTATCAGATCTCAAGTTACTGAAAAGATTAAGGAAAATAGAGGACAAAAGAACCTCTATCAGATCTCAAGTTCCAGAAAAAGATTGTCCTGGATATCATCCAATTGATTCTCTGTGACCCAATCAATCCCCAAGTGTACACGGAAAAAAGAGACTATGCTGTATCAGTATATGGCCAAGGAATGAAATCATAAACCTGAAGTAAAAATAAATGCAATGGGATGCGGCCAACTAAAATTGTCTCACCGAAGTCTACATTTTTTGCATACAATTATGATGACCGCAATGTCCATCTTGCCAAAGATGAATGACAGAATTTTCAAAAGCTACGCTATTGCGGTCCATATGAATACAGTCAGTTGTGGCAATGCATTAAGGAATGCACAGCTGATATCTAAGGATTTATACAGTGGAACTACTAAGTGGCTTCTCAGATCGGGATGGCATGTCGGCACAAGGATGGACCACAACAGAGTGGCCACTGCCACACCCAGCAGCGGAGCTTTCAAAACGTGAGAGGCCAACGAGTGGTTAGCAAACAAAATGCAGGCATTGCTGCTTCATTGAACTTATAGGGATGCAGGAGGTTATGTGACGCCATGTGCGGAGGCTGCTTGCTTACTTAATGAAAGATGGGAAGGTGGCACAAACTAAGCACAAGCAGAACAAAGGCAATATGAAAGCCTTCTCAATGCAGCATTTAGTAATCTGGGCACCAACTAAAGTTTAGGGATCAATTATGAATGTTCAATTGGGCCTTCTATGAGGTGATCCAATAGCTTATTGCTATTCATTCCAAGGTAGCTGCAATTCAATGTTGGTGCCGTTCTTCTGTTTCTTGTATAAAAGGGTAGGTCCAGAGGCAAAAAGAAGCAGAACATATTGAAATAGGCAAATGATGCTGTGCCTGTGCAGCTGTTACACCTTATCAATGGCAAGGGCGGGGCCTGTAGCGGGCCCAAAAGTCCTTTTGTTAAGTTTTCTTCACTAAATAATCGGGGTTGAGTGGCTTTGGTCCAACAAAGAGCACGATATCGAAAGACATAATATTGGATACACTCGATTCATGTGAGCGCAAGTCACGTGAGCCATTAGATTATACGGTTTCCAAGTGCTCTGATGGCATTATTGCCACACTGACTTTGAACTTTCAAAGGCATAGGAATAGGAGAAATGTGTGGCAACATTAAATGAGTTTTGCAAGCAATACTAGTATTGTTGCATATGCTGTATCACAAGCGTGCCTCGAAAGAAAGTATCCAGCTAAAATTTCATCAGTTTACGTGCATGAAATCCAAAAAGACAACAAATTCTTAAAATTTTGAGAATTGGTTAAGAAATAGGGAGATATAAAGTAGTGACTGAGGGTAGAGGTGGAGTTTTATGCAGTAGAACGAGGGATTGGTGCTTCAAATGAATTGCAAGAATAAGCCTTACTTGTTCTGCAATGGATCGACTAAATTTCATGGACAACAATAGCTAAAGCCTATTTCTAATTCATAGCCAGCTGAGTGGGCAAATTAGCAGGGCAAGCTCCAATTCCGGAAATGATAACCCTCGTTTAACCAAAACGAAAATAGAACCAAGCAGTCATAAACTTCCCAGCATACATGACAAGACCCAGACAGACAGAGACAGAGAGAGAGAGAGAGCAACAGCTATATCCACCTAGAAGAACCAACCAGATCCTATCCCTATCCAAACCGACCCCACCAGAGCAACAAGAACCCGAGAACCCAGGGACCCGTTTCCGAGAACCCAGCGATCGGCGGAGGCGGAGGACGAATTGCCGGCGGCGACGGAGGCGGACGGCGGAGGGGGCAGGGGGTGGACGAGGACAGAGACCTTCATGCCGTTGAAGCACTGCCCGTTCCCGCAGATGAAGTAGTACCGCTTGGCCTTGTCGAGCAGGATGAAATCCTTGCCGCTGCTCCAGTTGCCGGTGGCTCCTTCCGTCGTGCAGTTGTCGTAGCCTGTCCGGTTCACTTTGAACACGTTGTACTGGTTCTTCTGGTACCTAAACGCTGTTCAAATCGTTTTGAACAACACAAGAAAGGAGTGAGCTTTTTCGACGAAAGAGGAGGCAAAAGGTTAGGAGATTCACGGCATCAATCACTCCGAGTCCTGTACATGTTTCTCGGTTCAAAATTGGAGAACCAGTAGGAAGTTTCCATCTTTCTTGTTCTGAATAAGATCAAGACCAGTTTCTTTTGAAAAATAAGCCAAAGATGCGATGACAGCAGAGAAGCATTCTATAGTTAGGTACTATGCCTTCAAGAAGCTGAAAGAAGAGAAGTGGAAATGGGTTTTGGAATTCAGATCTAGCTCGTTCAAGTGAAGAGTACAAAGAAGTGTATGGAGAGAGAGAGAGAGAGAGAGAGAGAGTACAGATGAGGTCGCCGACGTAGAAGGTGTGGTTGTTGGCCCAGAGGGTGTAGTTGATCCCCGGGTTCCATCCGCGGTTGGCGCCGACAATGTGGTCGGTGGCGGCGGCCGGGGACACGACGGCGGCCGCGAGAACGAAGAGGAGGAGGAGGAGGAGGAGGATGGGGTGGGACGAGGTGGCCATGGACGGGGCACTCTTGTTGGTTGGTGGGTGGTGATGACGAGTCTTGAAGATGCCCTCCTTCTATTTCATACCACGTTGATTACACACCCCCTTGACTGAACTGTGCACAGAGCAGACCAGAGCATGTCGTTAATATATTGGGTCCAAGAAATTTTGAAGGCGGAGGAGGGACCAACCCCTTTTCTACTAGACTCAGATTATTGCTAGCATTATGTATTACATGGAATCCATGGTGTTCTTCTCCCCCCTCATTTCAAATTAAAGTATGAGATTTAAGAAACCAGAATCTGTATGCTACTTTTAGCCTTCGTTATATTGAATAGCAGAGAAAACCATTATAAAGCTAATTGACTGCACGCCGCTCTCCACGTTCAATTCACATTGTAGGACATGCATCCCTATAAAAAAAAACAAGAAAACAACAACAGCAACAGCAAGAACACCAACATAATTATTGTCGTGGGACCCTTCTTGTCAAGAAAACAGCGAGAAGAAAAGGAAACAAGAAACCAACATAGGGCCAGGCCAACTTACAGATCTTCAGTTAGATTTGCAATTGCACATCGCTTAACAAATTGTTTATCCAATGGGTGTTTCAGGATCGACGCTTGTAGAAAGTTCGTGACCTGATGTTCCACTTTCCAATTCCATGACATTTTGATACGGATCGTCCTCGTTTGAAATGGAAATGTATACTTTCAGCGCCTGCTGGAATTATCTCTTGAAACAAATTATTGCACTTCACCAAATGCTCGTACCGACGTTGGAATGCCGAGTGATACAAGTGCTACGCCAACGTATATTTCTTTCCGTGGACATCGGCCTAGTTGGCCTGGTGGTTGCCGCATCAAGGACAGCGTGCCATCTCTCTCTTGTGTGAGCATGTCTGTTCTGTTTCCCCTTTGGTATCATTAAATAATTGGACATTGGGCGGCGGCCGAAACAAACCCTCCATGGGGGCAATCTATACCTAATCTATTAGAAACGATTAAAGTATATAGTATCACAAGTAGGCAACTGTGAAGTAAAGAAACAGACAAAGAAACTGCAGACATTGCACGCAGTAGCTGCAGTAGCTCACACAAAGGTTGCAACGGTCACCTAACAGGCTCTTCAAAACTCATTCACTAGACCCACCAATTCCAGCTTCAAATTATTTGTACTAGTCGATTAGGTTTACTGCACCATTGCCTCTTGAAAGCACGACCAATTTATTTGACAGTCTTGCCAAAAGATACCCATAACATTTGATTGCCCTTTCAAATCCATGGTTGAACCAAACAAGCCCTACATCGACCTGGATCCGGATCAAGCGTTATCTTAATGGCTGAGACTGTATGAACTCAAAACTTTAAGACCACATCACACATTCTTAGCCTCCTCATCGACATTGCATTTAATACAACTACTTTTGAGGTTCAGTTTTGTTTATGCAGTTTCGGTATGAGCTCACATTGAAAGAACTGACAATAAGAACTCGTGTTTTTCCACGTTTTTCTTCTTCCTCCATGTCATCTACAGGGCTGGAATGCGCAGCCATACCAAAGAATATCAATGACGAATTCAATCCGCCAAAGATCTAGAGATTCCCGACACATTATAGAGGCATGAGTCGTTTGTACCTGTAGAAACACACAAATGCACTGAAAATGACTAAACCGCATACTCCTGTTATAATGAGGACCCACTGAAATGCATCAGCATTGTCAAAGACTGAGACGTCAAAGTTCATCCCGAAAATCCCCGCCACCACGCCGAAGATAGCAACAACGAAAGTCGCAGTAGTCAGCAGCAGCTCGAATTGTATCAGCTGATTTCGGACATTGTCCTGCAAGCACAAGGTCCGTGATTAGAGCATCTTCGAGCAAGCCAGGAAATATCATAAAAAGTATAAAAAGAAAACAAAACAGAAGTGTAGAGAGAAGGAAAGAGAAAGAAAAAAGGCAAGTCCGAATTGCTCTGCTGTATCTTAAAATATCCTGTGGGGTTAAGCTTTTTAAACAGCAATAAGCAAATTTTTGCTTCCCACCAAACTACAAAATATGATCAAATTTAACAAATTACGAAATAATCATGCATGATTCTACGTGTCAATACTAGCCTATTGTGAAAGTTTCTGGTGTTTTGGGACAAGAGAAAGTCAAAATGCATCCATCACATATTTTAAATTAAATAAAAAGCAAAAAGTAAAAATTTATATAGACACGACCGTAAACTTCTAAGTTAGCAGCGGGTACGTCTAATAGCAAATTCTAGCGAATTTCATAAATGTGAATTTCCTACCATTTACAAAAGTCCATTTAGTTATATGAACTTTTAAGTGTTTTCCTTCTTAGGTTCAACGTTAGTGAATTTCAACATCCATTTAGTTCTTTGCCTCAGTAGCGACGACGACAAATAAGTAGCAACACGTATATGTTGCAGCTACACTGTCAAGACCGAGCTATATATAGCAGAGTCCCACCCACTTTGCCCAGTAACTTTTTTGTTACAATTCTTAAACCCCCACAGCCAATTTCCCCAGAGGACATAAGTTATGAAAATTATCATTCAACAAGAAGATAAAGAAACGGGCATACCAGCTGAATGTTAATGAAATCTTCTGTGTCATCAATGTACTCCTTCAGCTGAAATGCATAACAAACAAAGTGATTAATATTTTTCCTCTACACCAAGTATATATGAAAGAAGATTTTAAAATAGATAGCGAGACTGGTGATACCGAAGTCAACTTATTCAAAGTGCTATCGATGACAACAAAATAAGCTTCCAACAGCATCTCCAGCTCTTCTATTCTATCTGTAGAGCTTTCTGAACTCCTCATGCTCTCATGCCGGCTCCTCGCTATACTTAGGCTCTTCTCAAGCTTTCGGCCATCACGAGGTGAGGAAATGGGAGAAACAGGAGCAGAAAGGCATTGTGCAACATCATTGGACCTGTAGCCGATCGAAGACTGATCAATATAGTACAATGACTCCACTCTTCGTTTCTTCTCAGTGAGATACATCTCAGCCATGTCTCCGTCATCGTCCATTAACTGTTCTATCTCATCCCTAACCTAAAACCAGTGCAGCCGATAAGTGCGAACAGAAGGAAAGGTAGTCGGATTAGGAAGGACAAGCATGAAACATGAATAGGTATTACCTTCTGAACTCTCCTGGTCAATGCCACAAGTCTGCTTTTCAAACGTCGAACACGCTCTAAATTTAATGTACTAATCTTCGAAGTTAGCTCATCCAGCAATGGATAAGCTTCGATTTCGAGTTCTGCTGCCTTCAAAAAATTTGAGAACACAGCCATTAATTAGAAAAAATTGTACAAAAATGAGAACATGGCAACATAAGTGACAACAACTTTCATATGTAAGAAGCATCAACCACTCTAAATTGCAGTCCATCCACCGATCTCACCCATCCTTTTAGTGATCCCGTTTCATATCACCAGTATTCCAATTCCCAAGGGGAGGAAACTCTTCTATGTCTTGGCCATGACTTAAGTTTAACTACCAATTAGCATCATATTATGAAAATGCTCTCTTCAAAAGTACTCATGAAAGTATACACAAGAATGGCAACAATGTGGGGAAAGACTACAGGAGTGACAGCTTTTCACAAAAAGTATCCTTCCATGTGATATGTACCTGAATTTTTCATGACCACAGTTCAGAGTCTAAGTTATAAAAATTTATATGTTCAACTATTGCAATGCTTTAGAATTGTAAATCTTAAAGATGTACAGTATTCCTTTTACCTCAATGCACTTACATTACTGAATGAGTAAATTTTTAAAATGCACATACTCCGTTATCTAGATGCACTTGCAATATTTAAGGAGATAGAATAGCAAGCATTTGACAAGTATGGGACTTTGGGGAAAAATCAACTTCCCCCCAAGTTCTATAAGTTTCATGTCAGTTAATTCCATCGTACCAGGTACAGCCTGAATCATTAACAAAACCTTACAAAGTACAATACCTACATATTCATACTCAGGATACTGAGAGTCATGATGTTGGTAACTGCCTGCAAGTCTCAGGAGAGTAACAAATGATTAAACGGATTTTTTCATTAATTTCTCTAAAACGCAATCATTCCCTCTCGACGTACTCCACCCTCAAGCCAAAAACAAAAGACAAAAGTCCACCCTATGTATTACCCGAACTTGTAAAGAGTGCATTTATCCTAAAAGGTATGCTGTCATTGGTACCAAAGCCATGTAACATTTAGAAGTTGTGAATTAAATGAAAGAGTCTGCAAGTATAGGATATAGGTCTTAACATCATCATATCACAAACCTGAGAATCAAGAAAAGTACAAGCAGTTTCTAAAGCAACTTCAAGGGCCCGAAACTCGAAAGGCAAATAATCTGGGGAGGTGTTGCCAAACAAATCATCAAAGTTTCTACTTCCTCTCCTTCTGCTCAAATCTGCACCTTCTGGTTGCCAAACCTCACTTGCCCCAGCTGTTGTCAGCCGGCGTTGTAGCTCCACCACATACTGCAACACATAACTATCGAGGGAGTTCAAAAGCAACACCTCATCTGCCGTGATAATACATCGAATCTGCTCTAAGTTAACAACTATAGCCTTCTCTCTCCCAAGAATTGTAGAGGGATAAACAAACAATGGATCAAGCAGGCGCAAATCACGGGCTGGAAGGTCACAACGGCGCATCACTGTGAACTTGTCAACCTCAATGATCTCAGAATTCCCAGAGGTATCAACACGAATCCATGACCGAAGACCTTGACCACGTTTCTTAAGACCTATAACATCCATGCCTTGGAAAGGCTGACGCCCAAACACAAATGAACGATGAGATGCTTCTTTAAGGCTAACAGCTGACGCAGGTCTTGGCGGGAGGAGGCGTTCTTTGAGCTCTGCCATGAATAAACTTGAAATGCTGCAATACACCAAACGATTAAAAGCATCAGATCGCTGGCATTGGAACTAGCAGAAATATTTCATGTTTTAAGAGCATATTTAGATGCCAGATCATCTATTTTGTATAAATCTACCGTCCTTTTAACTCAGAACGTCCTCAAACCACCAAAGAGAACTAATACAAAAATTCCTTTTACTTATGGTAACACCTAACTCGAGAGGAAAGAGAAAGGCGAAGATGTCAACGAATCTGGAAGCTCTAACTTTGGATAGTTCAAACCCTGCCAACATGCTTAGAGCCTTTCTATATACGTGAGCAGAAATTGATGCCAGTATCTGACATTAACCACCATGTCATTGCCCGTGGCAAATATTGCCTTTTCCTTTCATTTCAGCTTTTAGGCATTATTTGTCTGTAATATTCCAAAAGAGACAGCGTATTAAATAGCAAAGGAATGCAAAGACCTAACAGGGACAACTCTGTGTTCGTTGGCTCACTCTTCACGGATAACTAAATTTACCACAAAATTAGTGAAGTTTTACACTGTCCTCTCACAGTTCTTCCTGCCTTAGTTAAGTCCAAAACCTAGACAATCACGATGTTGATCAAGAGTATCAAGTGGAATTCTAATCTATCGAATAGTATATATAAAGCCAGTTTCGAAAAGTAGCTCTAAATGTCTTTGAATTGCATTCAATTCTCCATCTTTATGTCATGCATGTTCAGCTAGCCGATGGATCATGGACATCAGATAAAACCGGTGGGTTTCGTAAGTTCGTAAGTAGAACACAAGTTCAGCCAATTATGCCACACTGTTCTACTTCTACCTCAAGATTTATGAAGTGAAGCATTTTATAATGTTTGATTATGAAACATTTGTATTTTTTTATTAGCAAACTATCGGATACTTCCAATTTAACTTAAATCCCATTCCTCATTATGCAGCACTCGGACCTTTTCTACTAGATTGTCTGGAATTTGGATCATCAACAGAAAATGATCAAAAGCCTAGTACGTAAGACATTCAAATCTCCTTCTACGACAAGATAAATTTATCCTTCCTCAAGTTTTCCCATCATCACATAGCAAGAACAGCAAATAAAATTTCCAAGCTGCTATTGTCCAGCAAAAAGGAGTATCATCATGTTCACAAGGACGGGCAAAAAAACAGAAACGCAACATGAAACTAGTCGTCTTCCTGCCATCCCAGCTAACCATTGAAGCTCGTAACCTTCCACTCCATGGTTTTATCAGTTTTTTAACACCGGAAGCTCGATCTTTTCATTAGAAAGAGCACACAGAAAAGCCATCTCACTTCCCATAAGCTGAATTGCAGTCAAACGACAGCTACGCAACTGGGTTTGAGCTGAACCCACAAACACGCGAGTGCGAAGATGAATTATCTTACCTTAGGCGGAGTCGATGAAACCCAAATCGATGATCAATGACCCATCATTGAAAACGGGAAAAAGGGTGCGACTTGAGCACAAAGGCGGAAGCTTTTCGAAGTGGGCACTTCTTGATTCGATCTCCGAGCGGGAGGAGAAGTGGGAAATTCGGGATTACGAAGAGGGTTGTCTTTATCTCTCTCGATGTACGATTTTCCCGTTCCGGAGGGTTCGTTAATCGGTTGGCAGCTTCTATTGAATTCTTCTTCCCCTCTGCGACGGTGGATCGTAGTTTTATTATCGCTTGTTCTTTTTTTTTTAATAGCTAATGACGGCATGAAGAGCGTGTGCTTGTGTTCTTGGTCGTTCGTTCGTTTCCTCATGACAGTGGCAAAGTTCATCATCATTCGAACCCTTTTTCCTCCTTTCCATGGTGAAGTTTCCTCGTCATTAGCGTTGTGATTTAAGGACGGGTGATTTCTCTAAGAAAAGGACGAAACAGGATCCGCCAAAATGGACAAAGTTTAGAGAAGTTTAAGGGGTTGCAAATCACTCGTTCTATGTTGGGAAGACCTCGAGCCCGCTCAAACTTTACCTCGAGTTTAGCGACCTATCAGGTCCATGACCAAGTCTATTAAAGACTTAATGTATCTACTTTCTTTACGAAAAAGCTATCTACATTTCATAATTTAAGAAAAAAGTAAAAGAGTTCTTCTTAAATGCTTTAATCTTGATTTGGATAATTTTATTTTCATTGCATAAATGGTTTTCACTTATTGTGGATAAATTCATCAAAACTAACCTTGATACCTTAATATCACTAATTGACTGTATTGTGCCTCTAATGTTTATATTGACACGAGCTTTTTCGCAAGAGTGCTTTGACCCTAATTCAGTGATTTGCATGGTAAAGTGGAGACTACTAAGAGACATTAAAGATTCCAAGGTACTTCAATCATCAATTGAGCCTTTCCCTAGGTTGCACAAGGAACAAAAAGATATGTAGCTACGGATCCGTTCGGTTCAGCTTTGGAAAAAAAAAATTGGGGAAATGAAAATGCCTTTGGGTTAAAGGGCTAAAGACGACGCAGCCTGAGATGCGCAAACCCAAGCCGTTGCTTTGGGTCGCGCAACCCAGGGCAAGGCAACCGTCGTCGAACCCTAGGCCACATCGTCTGCGGTCGCCTGACCTCAGGTGAAGCTGCCGCCGCCAAATCTAGCTCGCTAGCAACCACATATGACCTCACCGGCCGACCATAGTGGCCTAAAACCTAGCCGATGACATCGCATTAGGGAAGGACATTTTTCAAAATGATGAAAGTTCAACGAGAGTAAAGTTGGAAGGAAAAGAAGTTTATTTGCATTCCAGAAATGCTACTTTCCAAAGAACCTCTAGACTTGCACTGGGTTAAAGTCATTTAAAGGCCTTTAGAAATGCAATTACATTTTCTTAAAGTGGAGCAAGAAATAAACGAAACATCATTTCCATTTAGCCAAGCGGCTTTAGTGTCCCAAAATCCATTTTGGAATGCTAAACAAAACGAGGCCAATATCTTTGGCCAACAGCCAAAAATTGTTCATAGAATGCATTGATCGATCAGGAACCTTGAAGTTTGAACAAAAAAAAAAAAAAACAAGGATCCTTGAAGACTTCCATAATTAGCCAGAAGAGGAGTAAGATTTTAATAACTTGATTTTAACTCCGTATTCCACACACTAAAGACAAAAGCCTCGTATTTGGTCAATTTCCAACTTTTCCTTTCCAAGTTCTTTCCTCATAATTGGTACTTTAATGATGTTAAAAAACAGCTCCTCTCGCTATGACTATGCTGAGATATATTGGGCCCTCGTCTCTTGAGGCCCTTCTTTTCATTTGGCAAGACGTGTTTGAGGTTCAGACAAAGACATACTTCGTTAGAATCTCAATTGCTGTCACAGGATGAAGTTCGTTTCTTCTGTCTTCTGTCCCGATGCTCACCACTTTAAAAATCACGAACTTGCTTTTCTTCTCCCTTTTTGCCCCAATATCTTTATGGCTGCTAATTTATTTTCTTCTTCTTGTTCTTCTTTTTTACTTTCTTTTCCTCTTTTTGCTGTTTCCTAAAACAGGTGTCAAGTAAGGAGAGGCCCGAGGATGCACAAAACCTCCATTCCATGCCCAGAATTGCTTTGTAGAGGAATGCATTAACATCTGCAATCATTATTTGGTGACACCACCAGCGGGAAATGTGTTAACAAAGACAATTGTTGCTGCATCTAGAGTTTCTTGCCTTAATTGGGGAAAAAATAGACATTAATACATTAATAAGAAACTTTTTATACTTTACTCTCATGTCATGTTCTCTTACGAACACCTTGAGGTCACTCTTTCAACTATATAATGGCCAAAGCCATAACCTTTGTTTTGTTACGGTACATATATACAGAAAAAGCAATGACTCGGGCCCCGCTTCCATCATATATGATATGCACAAACACAACCCCTGGGTTGAGATGATCAAATGTAAGGGTTGATATGTGATGAGTAGTCGCGAATTCCCGCTCCTTCCCATCCCATCCATTCTTCCCACAAATCCCAATCTGGATCGTCCGTCCCTCTCATCAGCTCATCGATCCCTTGGTCTTCCGACTCGTACATCTGCGGACCATTCGACTCTCCTCTCAAATTGCTCATCACAATCTGCACCAGAAACATTGAGAAAAAACTATGATTAGCCAAGAGTATCGTGACCCATAAAGCACAGTAGAATTCAGAAGCATAATTCAGAAATCTGTTTGACCAAATAATATATGAAAAAGAAAAAAGGCAAGAAGTCACTAGGGCCTCGATTAGAGATTGTGGGTAGGTCTATGTCACTTTCCGATGCTGGCCGTGTTGGCAGGATGCAGGAAAAAATTGGATAAGTTGCTGATACCAATGATCATCATCATCTCTTTTCACTATTTTTGCTAAGACAACTGAGAAAAATAACCCAACAAACCTGACCCGCCAGTCCCTACGAAAGCTCTTGAAACTTATACATTATCACTGAAATTGGTGAAAAATAAGCTAGAGATTTTTTTCTTGTTCTTTTGGTACCAAAACAGAGTCGACAAGCTTGCCGTTGGACATAACACCAATCATGTATAACCAAGTTAAGCTTGATCTTTGCATGACTCATGAATGACTGTCATCAAGGTGGAATCGTTGGCTTACATCATATGCTTCTTTGATTTCATGAAACTGCACGTTGCAGTTGCTTCCTCTGCATACGTCTGGATGATACTGAAAAAAACACAGGAACAAAGCCAAAAACCCATCAACGATCTTGATCAAAAAAGTGGCAGAACCATGAATCTGCAACGTTTGAGTTTGCAACTTTAATTACGTGGAAAACCATTCCCAAACTAAATCAGTTGATTCATAAGTGAACTGTCATATGCAGAGGACTTGTTTGAGACCTGCAAAGCGAGCCCTCTAAAGGCCTTCTTGACCTCAGATTCAGCAGCACCACGATGAATTCTGAGGGTCTTGTATGGATCCCCAACGGAAGAAGAATATGAGCAAGAGACTTTAACCCCATTTTCACATGCCTTCCTCTTCTTCATCGTCGTCCTTTCATTGTTCTTGAGTTGAATCCAAGATGACCCGGTCTTGCCCATCAAACCAACAGCGCAAGCCATGCCTCCTCACAAATGATATTGACTGAAGAAAATGAAAAGCAACAGATTATACGAGTATAAAAAGATCCCACATCCCAAGTACCCAGAATATATCTCTCCCTTTATATATACACAAAGGCTTTTGCTTGTGGTTGTGGTGTTTGAACTTGGAAGGTGGGTTTTGAAAAGATCAATGGGCAGGACAAATTGGAAACACGCTTTAACAGGAAGGGACGAGACTTTGAGAGTAGGAGAGGAGAAGGACCCGTCGCTCGGCTTTATTGGCCCTTTGAATCTTGATTTAACGCTTCCTTTAGGGGCAGCCCCATTATTGTTATTTAATGATCGATGACTTCGCTTTTGATGTTGGGTGAGACTTTACTATTTAAATAAGGCAAACAGCCCATTTCATAATGATTATACCATTCGAGAGAGAGAGAGAGAGAGGGTGATTTTAAGCAGTCAATGCTGATAATGCTAGAGCAATATTGAATTGATAGCAATGTAGAACTTGGCACATCGCTTTGTGAATCATCTTTCTAAACGCGTTATTTTAATGAGATTATTTAGATAAAAATTCGTTTAATATAGAGGATCGAATTTGGTAACGTGAAAGATGTGGGATTGAATTTGGTATTACCCTTTATCTGGCTGTGAATGAGGGCTTCTGCTATGGACTTATTTGGGGGTATATTCTCTACGATTGCAGACTAATTCTCAGTGATTCCTATACGTCCTCCTCCATTTGTGACCTTCCAAGATTCAACCTTTAGCTATTTTAAGGCATCATGATCATTTGGTTCATTTTTTTATTAATTAATACCGTTAATCAGTTTGACGTTTACCACACTGTCAAGCTCAGCTTCTAATACCACCAAACATGTTTGACCATTTCTATGCAAATGGTCGTGTTCATTCACAAGCATTCACATGCTTGGTTGTGCTTTGAATTGGCTTGTTATCTTCTCTCGACCTCATTTTGAGCGTCTTCCGCAAGAATTTGTCATTTGAACAGAATAGTTTTTAGCACATTCACACGATGGACCCAGATTTTCTCATCTTAGAATTAATGAACAAAGGGAAAAAAGATGGAATACAAGCAGAGAGTGGGCCGGACAGAGGGGAATCATTAAAGGAGTTGATGAATTTTCTCGTCATACTTCACTATTCCAAAGGATATTTTATTATGAAAAAACTATTTCTCGTGACGAAAAATGTGTTACAAGCGAATAAAGGATGGAGCCATTAAAGACCTCTAAACTTTTATGATTTGTGCATGACAATAACAATGATGTAGTCGTCTTTACCAAAAAAAAAAACAATGATGTAGTCGTCGGTGTGATAACCCTCCGATGATAATATCACCCCACTCGAAGGTAGGCTCCTCTTGTGGGATGACCAAAATAAGCCAAAAGTCCAAAAACGAATAAGCAGCCATGCAAAAGGTCTTTGGTCTAAAAACGAAAGTCTCTAGAGCTTTGTCCCACAAGAATTCAAACAATCAAAATGAGATGAAAGGGTCTCCATCAATGAAGACATCCAACACCCTTATTCCTATCTATGTAGAGATATTTTGTAGAATCACAATGCCCGATTTACCATGGTCATTTCTGAAAGTCGGGTTGAATGTTTAAATATGACCCCATTGTTCGATTGTCTAGGTCATTATTTCAAAGCAAATCTTGCAAATTGGTCTTCGTTTTTTTTTTGGTGTGATCATTATATAAGAAATCCAAATCTTTTGGCTCTACTAATATCTGTGAACGTACATAAATCACCCCCATCTCTTTATGTTGAGTAAGGTTTCTCTACTTACAGAGTGGTTTGGTATAGACACCCCGAATGTTATTCAGAGTAAGGAAATCTTGTTATTTGAATGCGAGATCCATTGCACCTTCATAAAAAATGCTTGTTAAACCTCTCAACCAAGCTGTTGAGGGTAAAAGACCCGTGCTATATATCCTCGGTCTAGGAACATTCAAGTATGATTTCTTTGACAAGCCATGACATGGAGATGGCAAAGAGCAAAGGGCATGGCCATACTCTCCCAAAGGCCCAACAAGGGCCCATGAGCCCAATCCTAATTTATCCCTTCTGCATCTCACTCCATGCAAAGCCCAATCAATGTTCCAACCACAGAAAGGCTTTGGCCTTTGCCTTTGCCACTGCCACGGGGACACTAACGATGCCTAATTCCTGTTTTAAGTGCTGAGATATGATTTGAGTCATCAAAAACTCACTCATGATGTGTCAATTTCACCTTTGTAAACTCATTTAGTATATTAACTTAGATGCTTCTCATACGTCACCCATTTCGACTAGAAAAAATCATGACTTATTAGGATGATACAAAAAAAAAAGGGCAATAAAAACGAAATAAATGCCGAAAAGTTATCTTATCTCGAGTGATTTTATCAGGTAATTTGTCTATTTCGCTTTTTCTCGGTTATACTTCTAATATCGACATGTTTTTGTCTACAGAAATTTGGTTCGAAACTAAATGGAGGAAAATTAAGTCTTTGTTCTTCTCCATTTGTCACTTTGGAGGCCAACGTTGTGGATACAACAACGACCAAACGTTTTAGCGAATTGGATGCACGAATCAGAATCCAGAAGGGGTTAAGGCCACGTGGCGCCCATGCATTGGACAGGAGTCAATAGCACGGGGTTGGTGAAACGACAGTCATTCTTGCACGCCTTTTTCGCCAGTTGAAAACTTTTGTTTGTAGGAGTTGGAACTCCTCCAACGCACCCTCACCAACTAAGACACCACCTCCACTTCTCCCTCCCTCTCTCTCTCTCTCTCTCTCTCTGTATCCATCCTCCTCTTCTTGGGTTTCTTCTGCTCTGCAGCACGGACATTGTTTGCCTCCATTGAAGCCCACGGGTGGTTCTTGGTAAGTTCACAGGAAGCACTTTTGTGTTGAGTGAAGTGGGCAGCTCTTGCATTTCTCTCTTTATCTTCCTCTGTTGGCATTTCATTTGGACATGTTATTAGGTTCCTCGCCGTCATTTCTTAGGCAGATCACGTCGAGAGATCACTGCTGCTTGACACCTTGAACTCGTGTTCTTCTTCAGAGAGTTTTTGCTTGAGCACAGCAACAAATTTGTGGGTCTAATTGCCAGAATATTCGTTTTCTTTATTGAGTTGAGGTTGACCTGTTCAAATGAGCTCCCAATGCAGGCTTCCGTGTTCCAGCTAATTCATTTCTAGAAAAATTGTAGATTTTTTAATAAGTGGGAATCTTGTAACGTCTTGGTCAACTTGGGATGAATGACTTGTCTCCAACAAACACACGTCGATAGAGAAAGCTAAGCTAACCACTTGGTTTCACCAACTTTTTGATGGAGACTACGGTGTGGAAGCTCAATAAAGACTTGATTCTTTTTGCCATTCTTGTTTCTCAAATGTGTGTTGCAGTCTCGCATCCTCCGGTTCAATACACAACATTAGCATAAGGGCGCCCGAATAACGAGAATGATCATCAATATCAGAGAGTCGACTATGGTGTGTCCGGCTGAGGACATGCCAAGATGTACCCTGTGGAATGCCAACGTGGACTTGGTGATCCCGAGCATGCACACGCCTAGCGTGTACTTCTACCGGCCAACCAGAGCAGCTGACTTCTTCGATTCCGGAGTGCTGAAAGAGGCACTGAGCAGAGCGTTGGTGCTGTTTTATCCAATGGCCGGGCGATTGAAGAGGGACGAAGATGGCCGGATCGAGATCGATTGCAATGCCGAGGGCGTGCTGTTTGTTGAGGCTGAGACGAGCTCGGTGGTCGATGATTTCGGGGATTTCGCGCCAACTATGGAGCTCCGGAAGCTTATTCCCCCTGTGGATTACTCTGATGGGATATCCTCGTACCCTATTTTGGTGCTACAGGTGTGATTTCTCTTTTTTATTCTGTTCCTAGAATTTGCTTCGTGGTTCATTCTTTTGCTAAGGAAGGTTGACTTTATGTGGTGAGGATGGATTTTCATAAACTCTTGATGATACTCATGATGATTCAAGGTCAGTGGGATTATCAGATAGAGATAGCTGAAATGACGATTTGTGGTTCTACAACTGCAATTGAAGTGAAAACAAAAAATGATCAGTTAAAACTAATGATGGACGGGGAGTCACTGTGTCTAGCAGCAAACGTGGGAGTACTTAACGTAAACATAATTGGTTTTCAAGAACCATATGCTCTCGGATGTCCTTGTACGCATGTGTTTCTCATCATACTTTGTGAGCTTTTGTCCAGGGATTACTTTTGAAACCTCAAATAGAAGTTGAACCTTGATTTTGACAGTAATGGTCGATGATTCTCTCCCTTCCTAAAAATACAAGCGAGGGAACCAAGTGGGTCATCTTGTACCAACTTTTTGGTTTCTTTCAGCTATGGTTTTATCAAGCATCATAACTTAAAAACATTGAAGAAGACCTTTATCTTTGACTCAGACTAGAGATTGTACATGCCAGCAACAATTAAGGTCTAACATTGGTGCCTTTAGTTTGCTTCTAGGTTGAGAGACCGGTTGAGCTTTTCTGACTATAGGAATTCATGCACAAAAAACAAACCAGAATTTGACCCTACTATAAGCAAATTGATATTTTAAGAGCAAGCCGCTTGGAAGCTAATGTTTGCTAGCAGTTACCAGTTCATCAAGTAGTTGGGTTTAAATCAGATTTCGGTGTTATTAATTTCGATCGTTTCCTTTATATAGGTTACATACTTCAAGTGTGGGGGAGTTTCGCTTGGTGTTGGCATGCAGCACCATGTGGCCGATGGATTATCTGGTCTACACTTTGTGAACACATGGTCTGATTTGGCTCGTGGACTTGACGTTAAGCTCCCTCCATTTATCGACCGGACTCTTCTGCGCGCCCGTAGCCCACCACAGCCTCAATTCCCTCATATCGAATACCAGTCTCCACCTGCATTGCGAGTTTCTCCTGAAACTACTAATTCAGCTCAATATAGCACTACAGTTTCTATTTTCAAAGTAACTCGGGAACAGTTAGGAACCCTGAAGACAGAGGCAGAATTAGAAAATGGAAACACGGCTAGTTATAGCTCCTATGAAATGTTGGCAGGTCATGTTTGGAGATGTGCGTGCAGAGCACGCGGACTTGCTGATGATCAAGACACTAAATTGTACATTGCAACAGATGGACGGATGAGATTGTCTCCACCACTTCCACGGGGCTATTTTGGCAATGTGATCTTTACAGCCACACCAATTGCTGTTGCAGGCAATCTCCAATCAAAACAAGTATCGTATGCTGCACAGAAGATCCGTGAGTCATTGGTGAGAATGGACGACCATTACCTAAGATCTGCCCTTGATTACTTGGAGCTCCAGCCTGATCTCTCGGCACTGGTTCGTGGGGCGCATACTTTTAGGTGTCCAAATCTGGGCATTACTAGTTGGGTGAGGTTGCCGATCCATGATGCGGACTTTGGTTGGGGCCGCCCTATCTTCATGGGGCCTGGCGGGATTGCATATGAGGGATTATCGTTCATATTGCCTAGCCCAACCAGCGACGGGAGCTTGTCTGTTGCTATCTCATTGCAAACAGAGCACATGAAACTGTTTGAGAAACTCTTGTACGACTTCCCTGGTGAGTCACCACGAAAAAGGTGCAAGCTTGACAACTGAGTGTTCGGTTTCTAATACCAATGGAAACGAACTTTTTCTTTCCTTTTATCTAGTTTCCTCAAAGAAATCTTTTGCACATATTATTCATTCGTCATGCATAAGTGCACCAATGCGGCTGTATGCCGCAATGGGATCGCAGTATGCATCGCACAGGACTCAAGAGAATTTGTACTATATTTTGAAGTTCAATTTATAATCTAAAGCTAGATATGCTTTTCTGCTTTTGATTCCTGAGATCTATTGTCTTGGATGAGGTGCTAAACTAAGCCTAAATGAACAACTCAACCAGAGAGCTACTTCTGATATGAAGGTCCTAACTGACTCTATAAGTACTACCAGGTCTGTGATCTTTGTCCACTTTCGCCTGCTGAAATACAAATGCAGCGTTGAAGTGGGAAGTTCTCGAATTTGAACATGTTGCTTCGCATTCATTTCTAAAATTGCATTTGAATTTTGTATGGTTTGTTGAGCTAGTCCTGTGATGGCTCAAGAAGCGGTAAGAGACTTGGCCTTAATCGTCAGTGGGGCTGGCAGGTCTAAAGAAAAGAGAGCAAGAGAAAGAAACCTGGTATGAAGAATTAAATCATCAAGGTTAAGAGCTAAGACTTGCTAGATTTGTATCACAGAAAGTTCTGTTCATAACACAACGGTAACACAACCAACCGCCATAACTTCAATGGACTAAAACAACAGTCAAATTCCCAAAAAAGGCAATATTGACAAGCACAAATGAGAGGCTGAGAACAGATATGGTCCGAAATTAAGATTTACGATAAGCACAGCGAGCCCCTTAGAAGTGACAAGGACAGATCAAACCGAAAGTTGCCAATATCACTGAGAGTATTAAGAAATAAGGTGCACCAGAGGATGATGCAGCATTTGTAGGACGCGGTGGTCGATGGACAATATTTGCACCACCATAAGCTCCCTTCCCTTTTGAACCTTTTCTCGTAACGGAAATCATAAGCCTCCCGTCAGCATTTTTTGAAAATTCACCAGTCTCGTTCAAATTTGCATAGCTTGCTGCAGCATTTTCCAGTGGAGTAATGGTGGCTTCTGACAATTTTATAATACACTAATTAGTGGCAATGAAGGATGGAGAGGAAAGATATCCCTACCTCGAACTTCCTGACCTTGTGTATTGTGGGTTGAGATGGGTGGCTCGGAGAAGCATTCGGCAGCCAAGATCAGAATGGTTTGAGCAGACACCATGCAAAACAACCACACAACAAGCTTAATTTTCATTTTGTAACCTCTCACTCTCTCTCCCTCTCTCTGCGTACGGGTGTGTATGTATGCAGAGTTGTTCTAGGAAAGAGGGAGTGATTCAGTGATTTGCAGGAGAGAGAGAGAGCCTGCTTCCAAATACCAGAAGGCATCAGAGAAAGATGTGCAGTTTCTTTTTGCTGAATAAGAAAGATTGTGTTGTCGGTTCCATATGGATACTATTTCTGATAGAAGTATATCAGAGAGAATAAACAAGTATGAAGGGCGGGAAAGATGGAAAAAGGTATGGAGGAGATGGCCTGGCAGTATGCTGTTCAAGGGAATTAAAAGAGAATGGCCCAGGTGTGTGCTCTACTATTCCAGAAAGATTGCAGCTGAATTAAATTTAAATCATCGCGTGAAACTGGAGCCACCCTTTTAAGCTGTAACCAACCGAAATCCACGTTGTCTTATACCTGCAGATCTTGACGGTATTCGCCGGACTTTTTAATTCGATTGTTCCAGGACGTTGGCTCTTTCCCAAAAAGATGGAGAATCTTGAACTCTGATTGCTTTACATGGTTGGAAGAAAGATTGGTGAATGACATCAACCATACTTACTCAGAGCGGGTGACGCAAATCAATCTGAATCAGATGTTTAGCAGGTTACTGAGTGACCTGACCATGTATTGTGTTCAAATGTAGAAGGGAACAATGCATTTCACCCCATGACTGTTAGGATTATTGCACTCAACACCTTGAATTAAAAACTAAGCACTTGACTATCCTTTTTGACTTTCACTTTGTGACGGACAGACATCTTTGAGCGGGAGTAAAAGCGGCAACAAATGAAATTCAATGGCGATGAAGTGCTTATTTCCAAAGCTTTGTCTATTATATATGACAGCTACGTTCGTGCATGGATATGAGATAACTCCAATTCCGTGACATCGACGTTTTTGAGTTGTCAGCTCAAGCTCTTGTCGTCGACATGTGGTAGAGCTGCTCTGTTCTAAATTCGGCGAAAATCTGTCCGTAGAGGGGAAGGTGAGATACCACAAGAATGTTCGACCAAGGATGCGGTTTACGCTACCGAGAAGCATAACTTTTGGCAAATGGTCGTGTGGCTTTAACTCGAAGGATGGTCATTATCTTCTTTAGTAGCATTTTGCAAGTCATTAGTGGAATCTAAACGAGCACCGAGAGAGCCATTCGCGATGCTTAGCTTTTGGAAAAGAGACAACGGGGGTGCAGAATCGATTCTTAGTTTATTTATGAAGAAAGGAACTGTTGCTGTGTTAAGGGTAGTGCGAGCATCTCAAACCTCGACAGCTCAAGAGTGCACAAAGCAAGGAAAACACTAAGAACAAACCCAAGAGTCATCAAAATCGTCACGTTGTCAATGTTGTCGATCGAAACTTTATGGATTTGAAACAGGACGGTCAGATTCTGTGCTTTATAGTGCTCTCTGTGTAACATGGGAGGAATGACAGTCTTGAAGGGAAATATGCCATTCTTTTACCCACGCAGCCCGCGTTTCTTTTCTGATTTTGCTAGTCCCTAGTCTGTAGCATAAGAACTAATAGAGAAAGGGAAATTTTAGGGCCCGTTTGGTAAGTCGCCAAAAAGTGAAAATTTCTGTTATTTTATTCCCAAAATCAGTTTTGGAACAGAAATCCATTTGATAAATTTTTTATTTCCGGGCACAAATTTGCAAAAAATTATTCCCAGAATCAGTTTTGGAATTGAATCAAGAAGCAAAAAAAAGTAACTTCTTGATTCTAGGAATAATAATCAGAATTGGAAAAGAAATTATTTTTTTTTCCTTCTTCTTCTTCTTTCCCATTCTTTACTGTTCTTCTTCTTCTTCTTCAGTTCTTCTTGCCTGGCCGGCCACCGACGACCGGCAACACAAGCGAGGGCCGGCGCGGCCCTCACCGGCCTTTTCCAGCCCCCGCCCGAGCCGGTGAGGGCTGCCCTCGTCAGATCTGCCAGCCTCGCTAGATCGGGCGAGGGCAGCCCTCGCCAAGGCCGCAAGCCTCGAGGGCGGCCCTCGCCAACTCAGGCGAGGGCTAGAAAAGGTTGACGAGGACCGCGACGCCCTCGCCGGCCAAGCCATGGCCAAAAAGGGGGAGAAGAAAAAAAGAAAAAAACAAAAGAAAAAAGAAAGAAAGAAATATTAAAATATTATTAATAAAAAGAAATTTTGTGCTGTTAATAAACGCATTTCTGTTCTTTTTTTATTCTAGGAATGAAAATTTTGAGCCATTACCAAATGCCTTCAAATGTTCAGAATCAGTTCCCGGGCACAGAATAAAAAAGAATCATTTCTGAGCAGAATCAGTTTCCGGGCACAGAATCGTTGCCATGCGCACCAAGGAGAGAGAGAACTGGCTTGCGGGAAATTCAATAGACTGCAGCTCTGTACAGCGACTTACTGGTGTATTCCTAGAAGGCGCACTCTTAAATAGACTGAGGTGGGAAGAGATGCAATTTATAGAAGTGGTCGGAAGTTACGACAAAATGCCGCGGCCAACCATGTAGCTCGGATGTCAAGATACGCTTTGCTTATCACAGAAAGGTCTATCTAGCAGCATAACATCCAACATTCAACAGGATGTCATCGCCCGACTAACCACTGTAAAATGGAATGCACTTTCGTTTTCTCTGCAGTATCAAAAGCGATCTGCTGGAAGTGTCCTGATAACTGTAAATTAGACATGACGCCGAGAATAATTCTGTGTGAAGTAACAAGGGATCTTGGAAGTGCGTAATTCAACTCGGGAACAGATTTTCACTATGAAAAGAGGTTTGTCGAACTGCAGTGCTACAAGATGGAACTGTCCTCGACCATTTCGCAGTATTTGATGTTGACCAACCATACCGCAACCAACTCGTCATCCAACTGAATATATAACACAAGTTATATATACAGATAACTTGAGCAACTTAGCTTTACCTTCTAGTCATTGACATGGCTAAAAATAAGAGAAAACATGCTGCCAACCTTCAACAACCACATAATTTTCAGTTCCCTTTAATTCACCAATCCTACATCATGATTTAGAGGGAACAATCATATAAAGAGTTGTTCATGATCTACAACTCAACGAAAAACATGAAAATTCTAGGTGCAGCATAATGTTCACCTAGCTGAAGGTGTAAATCGCAACAACAGTAACATGACCATATTTAACTCTAGTTACTGCAGCACAATGCTCGACCAAGCTGGAGGTGTTAGTCACAAACAGAATCAAACATCCGGATGGATGCATAATTGTAGTCGCTGCACCTCAAAGAAAACACCTGTATGGCAAAGATCAACACAACTCCTAACTAGCAACAGAATAGCAGGATACTAATGCTATGTTTGGAAGGATGTGGATTCTAGATGAGAAGAAACTGGAGGAAAGTTTTTGCTTTTCCCTCGATTTTCTTCTCGCAAAAATTTCAAATTCTACCACATTTTCCACAGCCAACTCTCATTTTCTCCCCCACCGCAGCTTCCCAAACAAAGCCCTAGTAAGAAAAGCCATAGCATGCATGAAGAGGAAGAAAGAAGATAAGGGCGCGTTTGGCAATCGGCCAAACAGTAAATATTTCTATTCTTTTATTCCATAATCAGTTTTGAAATAGAAATCCGTTTGGTAAATTTTTTGTTCCCGGGCACAAATTTGCAAAAATTTATTCCCAGAATCAGTTTTGGAACAGAATCAACAAGCAAAAAAAAGTTGGTTCTTGATTCTGGGAACAAGAATCAGAAATGGAAAAGAATTTTTTTTTGTTCTTCTTCTTCTTCCTGGCCTGTGGCCGGTCACCTGGCGACCGGCCACAAGCCAGGGCCGGCGAGGGCTGGTCCCTTGCCGCCTAGGCGAGGGCGACGGCAACGGCGAGGGTCGCCCTCGCTGGCCCTGGCCTATGACCGGTCGTTGGCGCTGGCGACCTGGCCATGGCCAAAAAAAGGGGAAGAAGAAGAAGAATAAACAATAATAAATAAAAAGAAAGAAATATTAAAAAATTCAAAATATTATTAATAAAAAGAAATTTTGTGCAATTACCAAACGCAATTCTGTTCTTTTTCTATTCCAAGAATAAAAATTTTGAGCAATTACCAAACACTTTCAAATACTTAGAAATTGTTCCCAGGCACAGAATAAAAAAGAATCATTTCTGAACAAAAATTATTTCCAGGAACAGAATGGTTGCTAAACGCACCCTGAATCAGCCTATTTCCGCCATCATATCCATAGTTATCAAATTCATAATAATTAGAAGCTCCAGCTCCATCTCATGGTCACAATCAGTATCATAACTGCTCACTATCCCCAATATCGCCACTATCCTTAACATCGATATCATCAATAAGAAAATCTTCCGGCCTATTATCCAGGAAAACAACACCGTGGAAGAATTTAACAACAAGATCACCATGTGAAAAGCCAAGCCATAGAAAAAACTTGGCATACTAAGTCCCAGTAAAAGAGAAATCACAATGAAAATTTACCCAAGAAAATTCACAATGAACAGGAAATCTTCCCAATTCCTTTTCCTTTGAAGATTCTAAATACAAGCAGCATGGCATACAAAACTAACATCCTTCCAACCTCATCGCTGTAAGTGATGTCAAAGGCTATGCATCTGAAAAGGACAAATAAAAATCTTCTGATTCTGGTCTTCCTACTGAGGAGCGTGATAAATTGCATTCTTGGTCATTAGAGTGAAAGGCCAAACAAGAATTAAAGTACCGATCGATAATTAACTAGCAAACATCACATAGCAGCAGAGAATTTACGAAGCCTCACAGGCAGAACCTCCTAACACTGGCAAGTCCATCACAAGCCAGAGCATTAACGAAAGGCAGTCAACAAAAACAGCAACCAGGAAACCCTCTCTCACATGTTTTTATGTGAACATCAAACTTATCCTCTTCCAGCTCCCCCCTTAGTATGATTAATTTACATTCAGACACCAACAGTTTCCCACTCAATAAATGGAACACTTAAATCCTCACATGACCATGGAATAGAAGATTTGTCATTTTCTTATTAGATAGATAGCGATCACTTCTCAGAGTTATTAGTCCAAAACCATCCTTAAATACATCCAAAGCACCAACGCATTGAAAAAGATATAGGGTCATGAAGTATCATTCAAAGTTGGCCAGCAAGAGTCCTTCAAATGTGCCAACTTGCCAAGCACAAAATTATAAGTAGATAGAACTCAAAGGACCCAATTATTATCTCCAGGAGGAGGGGCACATGCTTGTGACAAGCTATTCTCAAACATCCACAACTACTTGAATCATCAAACTAGTACGTCATTGAGTATTATCATTGATACAAGCCTAATGTGTTGTTCAACTCAAAAAGTTCAATAGGAAGCAACAGAAAACAGAAAGAGAAGATGCCTGTCAAACCAGAAAAGTTAATGAATATTATACCTCAGCGAAGGAGTTTTACAATATTACCTTCTGCAAAAAGTAAGATATAAACATTTACAGGAGGAAGCAAAATCAAGGACTAGTCAAACAGAAATTTAAATCATACATGTCAAGCACGCCTTTTGCTGAGACGCCACGAATTGGGTTCATGGTATCTGTCATAAAGAGGTTCGATACGCTCTTGACGCTTCCGCTTGCTCATCTTGGTGGGATCTGCAACTTTGAAAAATCTTGGCGCCGCTTCCACAAGCCACTTAGGATCAATAACGGTTACCTCACGCATGTACTCCTTTGTGGTCATGACAAGCTCATGGTAGATAACCCAGTCAGGCTGTCTCTGGAAGAGAGCACTACTTGGATGTATA